GAAGAAGCCGACGAATCATACAGAATACATTATTCGGGAACGTAAATGAATAAATACATTTTTTTTTTTTTTTCGAAACCACGCGATTATAATCGCATCGATACATCGAGCGCGACGTGCGAAGACGAGTGAGTTTCGGAGGAAAAAATCGCTCGGGGATGCTAATCCGGGGACATTTCGTGGCGGTTCTTCTAGCTGACATTTTCCTGGGCGTTTATCGTGATAATGCGGCTTTAGGTCAGAGGGTGTGGCCTCCCCAGATTGATTCGGCGAGCTGCCTTGCTTCTGCGCGCTGCGTCTCTTTACACCTCGAACGCAAAAGCATGGCGTCGCGTCACCCCGTTTCTTCCACCTTCCATCCATCCATCTTCCTTAGCCGAGCACACATATACGTCTACTTGGATACGTTTTATCGGTTCGCTGTATCGCGCGATAAATTTAGTCGCTCCCGATATATATAATTACTCCTTATCGGAGGCGTCTGGAGTCTAGATGTTACGCAATCTGATAAATCGACCGCAAACTCGATCCAATTCTTCGCGATTTTCTTCTTTTATCTATTAATTAGAGTCGTTGAGAACGACAAGAGTCTCGTTTCATCTCTGTACGAGGAATATGAATTGTATATTTGTAACTTCCCTCTTCTACCGTTTTTCCGGAGTGTCCTTCGCAACAACTCGTTCGATTTTTTCCCCACCTGTCAAGCTTTTCCACGTTCCCGCGTTATGTATATATATATAGAACCCGTTAATGAAGTATAGCGACACACTGACTGAGCTAAAACGAGAAACAGTTTTTGCAGTCCGGAATCAATGATGCTAATCGCGATCTATGCTAATCGGAAGAGAACGTACATATATAGATATCTCGTTTGTCCGGCGAATTGGATTTATTGACTCGTCGCGAACGAGAGGGAAAAAATTAATAAAATCATTCCTTTTCCGAGGACGATTACGACGTTCCTCGTTGTTATTGGTGCGCGATCAACAAACCAGCTCGACTGGCATAATGATCGAGCATCGTATGGATATTAGCGTATAGAATGCGCGTTCGCACGCGTGGGAGTGCGCACGCATTTATATATATATATATATATATATATATATATATATTATATACAGAGTGTCCCATTCTTACTGTACCATACGTTTATATAAGAGACACTCTTAAGGTTATTTGGAGACGATTTTTCCTTAGCGAAAATCTCGAGGAAGGTGATCATTTTTTTAATGTTCCTAATTTTTGAAATCATGTATTATCTTGTAATTAAGCCTTAAATTAACATTTTATTAAAATAAACTCTACATGAAATTAATAAAAAAATGTGGTTTTGTTAATACAGACAGTGATGGATAAGATACATTTAAAATGTATCTCGATACAAATACTTTTAAATTATATTTTATCATAATAATAATATGCACAAAATGTACTGAATAATTCTTTCTTATTTGTATTAATATTTTTGTTCATATTACGATTTTATTCGTTAGTCTTAACACGTGAAAAATGCCTCAAAGATACCGTCACTCAAACTATTTCTCTATGGTACTAAAATTGGGCTATTCAAAAAAATATGTGAAAATGTATCTGCAAATGTATCTGAAAAAAGGAATTCAGATACCATGTTTTGTATCTAAATACAGATATAGATACTTCAATTCGAATATAACGTCAGATACACAAAAATCTAAAAGAATTTTATAAGAGTTTCTCATCCGATCAATATTAATATTTTTACCGTAATAATACAGAATATTTAAAAGTACACATCTTATCACCCATCTTTGTAGGTCTTATACTTCTAAATAAAAAGTGTTTTGAGACCCGCTGAATTTCATTTACGCTGTATTTTATTTCCACGTGGCTTAGTTTGCGAAAAAGCCCTTATATATATTTTCAATCGTTTGTAGCTCGCAAACGATCGATGCCTGAAATCTCCAAGTCCTCAAGGATCTCCCATTAACGTGTGGTACAGTAAGTCTGAGACACTCTGTATATATGTGCGTATACACACGCGCCACGTGTACATACATAATGACGACGCAGTATCGACGCGGCACGGCGACCAACAACGGCGTGGGTGTCCGTTCTCTCGCTCTCCCGACAGATTCGAAAACGCATTATTAACACCGGCGACCCTGGGCTCTATGATTACGCGCATTAATAGCCGGATGGACGAACTTTGCTCGCGCTCCGCACTATCATTATCATCGCAACGCGAGAAAGAGACGAATGACAGTAAGAGGGAGAGATATTCGTACAGGAGAGAGAGATAGGGGCCGGTCCAAAGAAAATTACGAAACCTTATTCTCTCGCGTGTCTGTCTCTTCGAACAGACATTATTAATTTCGTCGCTTTTTTTCTCTCTTTGTAATATTCGAGATCCCTGAATATATATTTTTATTAGGTCAATCTTATATTGAACGAGCGTATCGATTACGATATCAGCCGATGGTTCGTTTATTAACGACGTGAGTCACGCGACATTTTGACATTCTGATCATATTGGCGAATTTACGAAGTACCTCTTTTTTTATTTGTACAACGATGAGATAACGTTCGCAGTTTTTCGCGTCTCTCTCTTCGAACGAATATTTTTTTTTCTTCGTAATATTTGATCCGGAATATATTTTATCAAGTCAGTCGTATTAAATGAGATCATATCGATTACCAGCCAACGATTCGTTTATATAATGTCATGAGTCATTTTGACAGTCTGATCTATGCATATTTCGAAATTAAATCGTCGCAAAATATTATTCTTCAGTAGTTTTTTTCCCGATCGCGAAAGTGAAGTTTCTGATCTAAATTGTTTGCCGAAATCTTTCTTCGCGATCGTTTCATAATGCTATGCCAATATATATTTATTTATATACATTACGGCATATTTTGAAGTTAATGCGTTTATGTATGTATAGGTACCTCACGCACATATATCGTACCTCGCTCGCAAACTCCTTTTCAAATTGCACATCAGGCGCGATCGAGTGTCGCGAGTGTACCAATCTTCCAACGATGAATAATTCATTGTGTAAATAATTCATAAATCTCACTCTGCGAGCACTCGACGAAGCGAGAGCGAAGGCAACAAAGCCGAAGATCGAAAAGCTCGAAAGCTGGGGCCACGCGATATTTTTCAAAACGAATCTCTATCCCTGTCAAAAATCTGTGTGTAGGATAATCTTCTCTCTTTCCCCCTTATCGATAAATTGAAAATATTCCGAGTATACTCTTTCAAACTATAACACGGAGAGAATTTTCTCTTAGAATTTACCCTAAAAATCATAATAATCGTGCATGATAAGAGTTTCCCTGATTAATATTTACCACAATAAAAATATTAATATATGCATAATAAAATTAATCGAACATATTTTATATTTTATTGGTAGATATTAATATTTTTATTCTGGTGTGAATATTAATCGGAGAAACTCTTATCAAATGTTTCCATATTGTCCCATGATTATACAATACTATCATGATTTTCAGGGTAAATTCTAAGCGAAAATTCTCTCTGTTTATAACTAAAAATTATATTATATGGTATTGGAAGAATTTCATAAGAGTTTCTCTGATTAATATTTACTACAGTACGATATAAAATATGTTCGATTAATTGTATACTAAACATAGTAAAATTTATTATGTGATATTGGAAGAGTTTTTCTGATTAATATTTAGCACAACAAAAAATATCAATGTTAACAGTGAATTTTATTCTGTAAACGTAGTAAAATGTTAAAACTTACTATTAACATTGATATATTTTGTTGTGCTAAATATTAATCAGAGAAACTCTTCCAACACCATATACTGTCTCACGATTACTCTGATTTTCAAGGTATAAATTCTAAGAGAAAATGCTCTGCGCAAAAAATCAATTTAATCCGACGTGAAAGGAACATGTGTATTTTTTCAAAATGAAACCTTCACGTTTGCGTCAACACCGTCATCGACGATGTTCGATCCAAGGGATTCTCGTAGACATCATCGTTTCCGAATGTTATGCGCGCTGCGCCGAGGTGGCACTCGTCTTGTCTTTCGACAAGAGAGCGCGAAGAAGAAGAATAAGAAAAGGATGAGATGTGGGAGGGTGCACCATCATCGGGCGCGAGGGCGGCGTTGCTCGTGTACAAATCATGCGGAGGATGACGCGGCATCGCCAGCGAGCATCCTCGCGTTCCTCCTCGCGCGTGCTGGACGTCGTAGGGCGAGACGACGTCGTGCATGTTAACGGCAAACCGCCCGGACCTTTGCCTTCGCGTATCACCATATCGCAAGTCACTCTCTTTCTCTCCATCTCGGCCCTTTTTCTCGACCCCTGCAACCTTAACGCTTTCTCTCCAACACTCGGGGAATTTTCATTTATTAGACACCAATTCGTTCATTATGCCTATTTGTGGGAAATTAGGAATTATTTATTCAAATTATTATTCGTCTTCATTGTCGTGTAAAATGATTTTTTTTGCGAGCGTCGAATTATTTATTACGCGCTAATAAGACTTGCAGCTCTTATCAAACTCAAAATTAAGTACTGTATGTTTAGAAACATTAATTACACTATAACAATATAAGTACAATTATTGATTATTTTTATGTATGTGTAGAGAGAAGAGAAAGGATAAGACATCTTTTTTATCATTATTAAATGGTAATCATAATTAGTATCATTACCATTTAAATCATAATTAAATGGTAATGGTACGAATTATGATATTGATAAAGAATAATTACAATAATAAAAAAATGATTCTTAATACAATATTTCATGTGCAAATACTGTTATTCCATCTAGGCATAACCAAATGAAATATAATGACACTTTCAATAATATTGTAGGATTCCAATAAATATATATTTGGTCCTCATCAAATATACGAAAAGTCAAATAATAAATACCAAAGTAAAACACAATACAATAGAAATAAAATACAAAGTTAAATATGAATAAAAAAAATCATACCCCAAAAATGATGTTTTTCTTCTGTTCCCAGCAGACGTCGGACCTGGACACCTTGCTGTGCAGGCAGGATCTCGATCGTCTGCAGAGGCTGGACGAGGATGACTCGGACGCGAGGGATTCGCGGGAGCCCGGGTCGTCGGTGCACATGGAGGACTTCTTCGAGGTCAGCGGTCCCACGGCTGTGTGCCGCGGCCAGCAGGCCAGCTTCGTCTCCGCCAGGGGTCAGCCGACGTCCGTCGGTCAGGACGACGACGTGTTCCTCAGGCCGCCGCTCTGGGAGGACATCACGTCGAGCATCCAGAAGCTGGACCCGGAGAACGCGGACATGCTGGGTTCGCAGTCCCACGTGAAACTGGAGGCGGACGACGTGACGTCACCGCCGGTCCTCTCCCCGGTGGAGATCAAGACGGAACCCTTGCCGCCTCCACCGACCCTGCACCTCCTCGAGGGACCGAATCCCGGAGGGCAAAATCCCTTTCCGAACCCAGCCAGTGTTCAGCACGTTGTCCATCATCGGACGACGACGACGACGACGTCGACGACGGCGCTCTTCAAGAACTTTCCTAACAACAATAACAACAACAGTAACAATAACAACAACAATAGCGGGAGTGTGAACAGCAATAGCGCGAATGGGAACGGCAATAACGCTAATGGCAGCGGCGCCAACAACAACAATAACAACAACAATGGCAACAACAACAACAGTAGCAACAACGGTAACGGCGACTCGTCGTCGACGACGAGTCATCATCAGCCGAGCGGCAACGCGACGTCGCCGCTTTACGGCTCGATGACGAGGCTGATGTATATTTCGCCGCTGACGCCACCGATCTCCGATCCCGGGTCGCCCATCGGTCCACCCAGGCGGACACCGCCACCCCCGTATCCCCAGCCTGGCCCGATCCTGAATCCGGCACACAGGATCCAGTCGCAGTCGATGTCGTCCAAGTTCAACAGGCGGAATAACCCGGAGCTGGAGAAGCGCCGAGTGCACCACTGCGATTTCCTAGGTGAGCGCACACGTGACAAGTGTTTTTCTTGATATTTCGATATTCAGAAAGGACTGTGCCCCCGGGTTCATAAGGGAAAATTAGACTCCCGGTGAACACAGCAAAGAGAATTGTACACAGAGAGAATTTGCTCTTGGAATTTACCCTGAAGATCATGGTAATCTAAGTCGATATAATATTGAAAGAATTTTTTATAAGAGTTTTTCCAATTAATATTTACCACAATAAAAATATCTATCACAATAAAATATAAAATATATTCGATTAATTTTATTTATGTACATATTAATATTTTTTATTGTGGTAAATATTAATTGATCAGAGAAACTCTTATCAGTTTCTTCCAATACCATATTGTTTCACGATTATCATGATTTTCAAGGTAAATTCTAAGAGAAAATTCTCTACGTGTAGGACATGAAAAGAAAATTCAAAAGAGCTATCCAAAGTTCGCTACTACAATCATGTACCACTGTCTTCCTCGAGGTCTCATCCGAATTCCCTGCGTAGGATTGCATCAAACACATTATGAAACAATTTATCTAGAATGTATTTGGTACAATTCATTAATCCGGCTAAGTGGCTGGATGCGATGCCTCTGAAGGGAGGAAAATGAAACTTCAATTAGACAATTAAAACTTCCTGTTTGATACTTCGTGAGTGTCCCCTATCGATCAACATACGACTCTTGCGCCTATTCAGTCGGGATCCAAACTGGGCACAGTCCTTTATTCTGGATAACTAGAAGGGATTTGAAATTCCACTCAAGATTGAGCTTTCATGATTTCAACCGACTCAATTAGTCTCTCCCTCTTGCAGGTTGTACAAAGGTCTACACGAAGAGCTCGCACCTGAAGGCTCATCAGCGGATACACACGGGTGAGTGAAAAACATACCGTATCACGTACATACACGTTTGTTGCTAACACGGGCGCTAAAATTACGGGGAGGGGCCTCCGTGTATTCTCCGGCTAATTAGGTATGTAGCTCATTTAAACCTAGCGAGAAAGAGAGAGAAAGAGAGAGGGACGAGACGAGAAGGTTTGAAAGCGCGAGGTCGAGCGTTCAGCGCTCGCGCGTGGGCAGGGCGCGGTCCCGAGCGTCTCTCTTTCTCTTTCCTCCTCTCTTGCTCCGTCTCCGTTCTCTTTCTCTCTCTCTCTCTCTCTCCTCCGTTTCCATCTCCCAGCGGTGTCGCGCAAAGGCGCTTCTATCATATGTAAACGCGGTAAAGGTAAGGGAAGCATATACGAAGCTCTCTCGTGGTATGCCGACTCTCTGCTTCGCTGGTAGAGCGAAGCTAGTCGACCGACCCACATCCTATCCCGTGTCCAGGCTCCGCCAACACACGAACGTTGATCACCAACACCGCACCGGTGTTCGCTACCTGGGCGAACACGCATACTGGGTTCCCACACGCGTCCGCTGGAGCGAAAGAGAGAGAAAGAGACGGAGACAGCTGGAGAAAGACAGAGAGAGAGAAATGTGCTTCCCGCACACGTGCCTACGCGGCGGTCTCTCGCGGAATGCAAGCCGGAGGCATCTTAAGTGCGATGTACCACTTTCGAATTGATAGCTCGGCGGGTTTTTGCGGTAAACCCGTGTCATCGCCTCGAACGAGTCGATCGAACGAGACGAGCGGCACGTACGGTACGAACGGATCGAATGGAAACTTGAACATATACATGTCATTAAGCGCAGAAATTTAATCGAGAAATTATAAGGAGGTTTCGCCATCTAACATATTTGTCGCGCGTAAAAAAAATCTCGCTTTTTTTTCAATTATTCCCATAATCTATTAAAAGAAATCATCCAATTAAAATTCTTAGACTTAAGTTGATTGTCATCCGCGATTGATTGATTTAATATTCCAATCGGAAGAATGCGGAGGGAAGTCTTTAATTGGAGAAGCAAATGAATTCGCAACTTTTCGCCGCGAGTTATCGATTCGCAGAAATGATGCTCAGGATATTTCAATTTGTCGCGCGATCTTGAATACGAGCGAGATACAGCAGGCGCGCAGAGAACGCGCTCGGTGAAGGAGAAGCCGAAGAGGGTTAGGGAGGGGGGAGGGGGCACGTGGCCCTCGGACGGGACTCGTGAATGAACCCTCTCGCCGCGTTGCTCTTGTGAATGCGCCGTGCCACGAGCGGCGTGTTGAGCCGTCGACTTCGTGTCATTAATTCATTTACGACTCGAATTATTATGTTATAAGAAATTAAGCACCCATAATTTAATACGATATACTTAATATAATAATTTATTGGAAATTAATATTTATATTGATAATATTATCATTTTTTCATTTTATCAAATCATTTTTGTGTATATGTGCAATATTGTATATATATTAATTTTTATATTATCATATTATATTAATTATACTGGATTTTAGTTATAAAAGTCTTTATATAACTAAGGTACGATAATTAATATAATAAATTAAATATATATTCAATATTTTCCAGGGGGTGCATGATTAAAATTTTGTTTTTTCTTTTTTCTTCTTTCTTTTTAAATTTAATTTTTATTTTGTTTTATTCATTTTTTATCATTATCATTTTTTATATTAAATATCCAATTAAATTCTAGTGTTTGTTCAAAAGTGAGCAAGTGCTTAATTTTTTTACCACTAATTTCAAGGGGGGCATGTAAAAATTTGATGATACAGGGATATATAAAATCGAAGAAGAAGATAATAAAATAGACAAAAAGCGAAAAGAAGACATACGAAATCTATTTATCATAATTGATTGGAGACCCCTTTTTAATCCGTCTTAATAATTTTCAGCGCGATTGTTTCGATTATTGGAAGCTCGTCGACGTTAAAGCGATTAAGCGTTATCGTTAATCGTCTAGAGAGAGACGGGCTGCGCGAGAAAGCCCGAGGTGATCGAAGAAATCTGGAGCAGAGTATACGGCTAGAGGAAGCGTATTTGGAAAGCAACTTGTCTCCGGTGTGCGCGCCGGCCGTCGACTCTCGGGTGAAAGTGATCCAAAATTAACGGGGACGCCTGGAGGCCCCCGTCGTCGAGGTGTCGGATCGGGAGACATCGCGCGCGTCTGTCAGACGTGTAACGCAATATTATTATGATACAGCGAATCTCTCGGAGAACTCGAAAAGCGTGACTCGCGCAAAAACGTATATAAGGGTGTATTTAAACAAGTGCGAAAAATTTTACGAGATGATTCTTGGTCGAAAATTAAAAAGAGTTTCTGATATAAGCATATACTAAAATTGAAATAGAGGTTGTTAGTTTCATCCCCTTTATAACGATTTAGGAAGATTTAAAATTAATATCTGTTTTATTAATGGAAAATATTCACCAAGTTTAATTTTTTTAATTTGTCTGAAATTGAAGAAGAAAAAAACAATTTTTACCTCCCTCTTTAGAAAAGTGTAATTTCTCAAGAAGGGATATAAGAAACCCTCCTTTTCGACAAAGAATCATCACCTAAAATTTTTCATACTTGTTTAGATACATCCTGTATATACTAATGCGCTTTTAAATGAGAGAAACTATTATATAAGATGGAGAAAAAAAATCTTAGCGCATACACGCTAATTTGTAAGTGCGAACGTTGACGGTGAATTTCAACATTGTTGTCTCACACGTCTCGTTCCGTTAAATTTAAATGGACTGCATTCTTCACGTTATAGTAGAAAATATTTCATATAAATATATATTTTTCTACTATATTATTCTTTTTATCTTCTTCGATTTTTATATGTCATTATATAATTATTATATTATGTTGTTTACTTCATCATAATGCTGATCAAAGTATAATTTAAATGACAAAAAAGATAATTAATATTAGAAACTAATTCATTTCTTCTCCTGTTGGGAAGTTATTATAAAATATAAACATTTGTATTAAATATCTTTTTTGTGAAAAAAAGAAATATTGCGAATGTGTCGAAAGAAGTAAGAGGAATAAACACCGGCGACGTATAGATCGCGTGACGGGGAACGAAATTTCGCCGGAGTCGGAGAGTCAGTCGTTGATTCTCTCGCTCGTTGAAGATTCGCGGGAGAGGAATTCTCTCACGTGAACGCGCGATACCGTAAATGGCGGGCGTTCGCGTGTGGTGGTAGTACCGTTTCCTTGGGCTGTGCGTCGCGTGGCGCGGCCAGCGAGTTGAATGCAACTCTCGGCGTGCATCAGGGCGGCTGCTGCGCCGAGGACCGGTTAGGGTCGTCTCCTTATAGCGCGCGCGCGAAAGAGAGGGAACGGGAGGGTAGGCTAGGAGGAGATGCGTGGGTGTATCTCTCAGCTATCGAGTTCTTTCTTCTCCTTTCTCATGTATGTACGCCTCCCCGGTCCTCTTCTTCTCCTCTGATCCCCGTCGTCGATCCTCCTCGCCTCCTCGATCGCCTTTACTCCGCTCGCTTCTTACTTCGTGCGTCTGGTGTCGCGAGACCTTTCGTCGCGATCGAATTTGCGAATAGACTCGTTAAAGATATTAGATGAATTACCGATGAGAGACGTATGCGTAATTATGCATCTCAAGAATGAGGCCAATCTCGTCTACAAGAAAGCGGATCTTACGAGAGAATTAAAAACCCTCAAATACGTTATGTCAATATTTGACTACTTGCTAATTTAGTTGCTAAATTTCTCTCGACACGAAAGTTCGTATCCTGAATTTTGCAAATTATGTGAAACCTAAATCGTATACACACTTGCCTTTACTTTCATCATATACATACGGATCGCGAATTTTCTGAAACTCCATTTGTCGTCAATATTTTGATCAGTCGCGCGGAGATGAGCTCTTAATCCTCTCGCTCGTAAAGATAACGCAATCGTACAATAGGCAACGAGGCGAGTTCTCTCCCGATAATCAAAGCTAGGCGGAATGCGGAGCATGTTGGCTCGCATTAGTAGATCGGCTCGTTCGCTCGTTCGCTCGCGGACCGGCCGCCGCGATTGCGCTAGAATACAGGTGAGCGTGTTGCGGCATGCAGGTACAGTTAAAGGTCACACCGTGCTGCATCTCTCGCAGCTGAGAGGCGCGAGACGGGGATATATCTTATACCGCATCCCGCTGCAGCTCTATCTTCGCAAAGAGCAAACGCTTTGTTCTCTAATAGGTCGCGCCGGTCTCTCTCTCTCTCTCTCTCAAAACTCGCGGAATATTCGCTCACGCCCGCTCGATTCTCGATACAGTACATATAATATATTCTCTTTCACATTTAAAAAAGATCCGAATATTCCGAGTGCAACAAACGTGTACTTGCACATATTTTCTTTCTCTAACTTTTTTTGTTAATTTCTAAAAATTTTCCTATTATTTCTTCTTAACAACGCATCATTCCGTTTTCTCTTAAAAGAAATTTAGAAACTACTTGGTGAATTCATCAAGAAAACGAGAATTCTACGTTATGTCGCTTCTCGATTCCATAACACGGTCGGCCAGGAGCCTTAAATAAGTAGTCTCTAAATTTCCCTATTATTTCTTTTTCAAATCACATTATTCTGTTTTCCCTTAAAAGAAATTTAGAGACTGCTTGATGAATAAATTCATCGAGAAAACGAGAATTATACGTTATGTCGCTTCTATACTTGTAGCTTATAAGAATTAATTATACACAGTAATTCCGACTAATGTAACCGGTCGCTTCTTCTCGATAATAATAATACTGAAACGTACACATCTAACACTGCTGCTTGTTTTGCTTGTTCTCATCCACGTCCGTCTTGATTGTTTCAGGCGAGAAACCGTATCAGTGTCAATGGCCGGAATGTGAGTGGCGATTTGCCAGGAGCGACGAATTGACGCGGCATTACCGCAAGCACACCGGGGCTAAGCCCTTTAAATGCGCGGTCTGCGAGCGCTCCTTCGCCAGAAGCGATCATCTCGCGCTGCACATGAAGCGGCACCTCCCGAAGCAACACGCCAAGTGAAGCGAAGGAGCGAGAGGCGCCTGAAAGAGTGAAGGAGAGATCCTTTCTTCGCTTCCCGTTCGTTCTCTCTCGACTACCTGTATTGGATTCGCGAGCTGCGTGATTTTTCCAGCCGTTCGAAGATCTTTCGCAGGAGCTCCTCTTCCGATCCTTCGGTCGAGCGATTCACTCTGAAATGTATAGAAATTATGTAAAAACTCTATTTCTTCAAGTATTATTCTTATCTCTAAACGATTACGATATCTACGGCATATTGTTTACGTTGTTATCACACGCGGATCTGTCTTTCCATTCGCGCAATCCCCCAGTGATCGGTGATTATTTTCAAATCGATCCTTATACGATCCGTAAATCACGTTCGTTTATGTATGTGCAATCGAATTCCCGCTCTTGCGATTCCGGCTCCGGGTCTCGATCTCTCTCTTTCTTTCGTCCCGCGCGATTGGCAATATTACAAATAATACAATATCGACAACGAGGCATCGATCGGGTAACCGAGAGCTTCGTCTCTCGCTTCGGTTTTACGTTCATTACTCTTCGGTTAACCGATTATGACGAAACACATCCTCGGTGTGGGTGGCGATCGCGAGGAAATATTTCGTCATAGCGCTATATGCTCACTCACGGATACAATCCGAGAGAGAGAGAGAGAGACTTACGATCTGTGCATGTACATGTAACTGTAACGTCGACGAAGCCTGGAGTCGAGTCGTGCGCGAGAAAAGCAAAGTGCTTGAAGAAGTGCTCTCGGAAAGTAAAAGCAAAAACATTCGTCTCGAGAGACACATATTTTGCTTCTAACAATCTTTTTATTTCGAAACGTCATCAATGAATCGTGCAATTTTTTTCATCAAATCGCTCTGACGCAACTCTGCAAATCCGTTCTCTCTTGCTCTCTCTCTCTCTCTCTCTCTGTATATGAAAAAGTTCTTTTAATCTTACAATTAATCTACAAAGGGTGATTTAAAAGAAAAATTACAAGTTTTAAAGTTGAGAGTTGACCAACTCGCTTATAGGACTTTGCAATGGAGCTTTTTGTAATAAAACTTGGGACTTAAATCACCCTTTGTAGACTAGGATTTAAAGATAAAACTAAAAGCTCTTTCGAAGATAAAAAAGAGAGAGAGAAAGAGAGAGAAGAAATACATTTACATTTACAGATAATGTTTCAACTCGGAACGCTTGATCGGCAACTCTGCTATCTTTATCCGTATATTTTTGCGCGAGGTTGTTTTTCTTCGCTAATCGAAAGGGAATGTATTTGACTCTTCCTCTTGCACGACCCCTCGAGTCCTCCAGAAATGATTTGCCAGATTAAGAGGCATCGCTATCTGGAAAAAATTATCGCTATCTCGAAGTTGGCCGCGACTCATCGAGACTACACTTCGTTTGGCGTGCAAACGATTGGTTTTACTTCGCGATCGAAGAGCAGGCTTTCGAAGTCTCGAGGAAGCTTAATCCCCCGCATCGCATCCTGTGCATCGTCTTTTTTTATTTTTGATAGTCGTCTCGACTTTGTTAATGCGAGAAATTCACCACGATTATTATATATTTACCGAGCCTCCTCGATAGCGAGAAACAGATAGATAGATAGGTAGAAGGGCGAGTATCACGCTTCTTCGTTATCACGTCCGTATGTGAGAAACGACACGATATCGTGTGATGCCTTATGTACAAATTCGCGTAGAATCTTGAAGAGATAAGACGATCGATGTGCGTGTGTTATATATGCGTGTGTATGTGCGGGCGAATGTTGCATCCGTGTATGCTATATACATATAAATATAAATATATATATATATATATATATATATATATATGCGAGTCTGTGTATTTATATACGTTATATTCTACGCACACGCGGTAGTCCATGTACGTGCTTGTGTATACGTGTAAAAAAATACGTGGAAAAAAGAAAAGAGAAGGAAAGGATGAGATACGCATCTGAGATAGCCGTGTGTAGCTAGTGTGTAATATTATCTGTATATTACCGCGGAGCGATGGGCCCGGGAATAATTCGTTCTCACGCGTGCTCTCCGATCGGCCACGATTCAGCCGATTCAACCATCGCTCGTCGTCATTCACGGCGCTTCGCGCGAAAGTGTCTATACGCCTTTCGCGCGAAAACGCGAAAGGGCTTGTAACGGACGAACTTGTATAGCGATAGCCAGGGATGTAGAATCCACGTATGAATTCTCCGAAGTCTCTCGATAATTCTCGAAAACACTGTGCTTGTCATCTTTCTCTTTTTATACATCTTTTTTAAGGCTATTTGATTAAAAACTCAAGAAAATTATTAAAAAATTTCTATCTTATAATGAAGAGAATCTTTTTAATATTTATAAGGAAATATTCTGATATATAAGAATTATTCTTATATAGTTTCTTACAGAATATTCTTAAGGAATATTCTTATAACGAATACTTTATTTTTAATTCTTATATATTTATACGTGGGCGTCCGCAGAGAGAGCCCCCCTTGGAATTGGTAAAAAAATTAAGTATTTGCTCTCCTTTTGAATTTGCATATAAAAAAATAATTGAAGAACATAAAAAAATTAATTATGTCCTTTCCTGAAAAAAATCCTACAGACACCTATGTACATATATTAAAAAAATATTTCCTTGTATCTATATTGAAAAGATGTCCTTTTATTATAAGATCTTGTACATATATATTTTCGATAAATATTATCGCGAATAATATGTAGGTATTCAAAATATATTTATCGACTCTCTTGTTTGTATATTCTCGTTTGGATTTCTCTATAAGGCACAACCCGATTTATTTATTTTTTTGCTTTCTTATCGCTATAGAGAAAAAACTTGGACTATTAATTTCAAGCCCCAAGAAAGTTACCATCCGTCCCTGGAAGACGTCGCGTTAGATAGAAGGAGATAGGGGAAAAGAGAGAGAAAGAGAGATAGAGAGAGAGAAAGGCGTCGGCGAAAAGCGATTTCGCGTATCTCGGACGTTCCGTTACGTTCCGATACGAACGTGTCTCACCTCGGAAGCGCGTGCGCGCGCGCGTGCAGGAGGCCAAAAATTTTGTCCATAGTCGGGCGCTTTGTACACAATCGCAATCGTTGTAATAATATAGCGAAAAGCCTCTGATATAGTGTGTATATATATATATATAAATATATATACACAACTGTGACAGGAAACGAGCTAACAAGGGTCAGTTGCGACAAACTTGCTTCTAAATCTTATTTGATTTCAAACATTTCGGTCCTCTTTGGATCTTTATCTTCAGATTGATAACGAATAACAACAACTCGTGTCTTGATCAACATCCCCGTCTTATATCTTCTTGCCCAGTCCTCGTTTGAAGAGATAAAAAACAAGAAGTGTAGACTTAATGGACTAAACACAGATGAGTCCACCAGGTGAGGCAAAAGGGGACATTTGTTCTCCCTTTGAATCAATAAAGAAAAAGCATTTGCTCTTTCGAATAAACCCTGGAATTTATTTGCATATTTAATATAAAAAATAAAAAGAAAATTTTTAAAAATTAAAGAAGAAAAAATGTTAATCATATGTCTCCCCTGAAAAAAATCCTGCGGACATCTATATGCTAAACAGTATTGAAAGGAAGGATTAAAAATTAAATAAAGATTTTTTTAAAAGCTTGTCGCACTTGGCTCTTGTTAAGCTCGTTTCCTACTTGAATTCGTCGTAATAATAAATGATCGATCGATCGAATCGAATCGTTATGTAGTTACGTAGTCGAGCGTTAGACGGAAAAAAGCGAAGTAACGTGTCTATTTATATCTGTCTATATCCGCCTACCTATCTCGTCACCGCATCCTTCCAAATCGATTCTTTCGAATCGTCGTCGCCGTCGTCGTCGTCGTCCTCGTCATATATCGTTTAATCCTTCACTCGTGTCCCAGTCGCACTTTCTTCATTTTTAAAAATTTTTATTTACCTCGTTTCCCTTCAATTTTTCGTTCTTCATCCTCCTCCCTTTCATCTTCTCTCTTCGTCGATGCTTCTCCACCTATTGTCGGGATCGACTTTTTACGATTACTCTCTCTTATCTTATATATATACATAAATATATATAAATGCGAAATATACCTCATTTTTGCAAATATGCAGTAAAATAGAGTCGACGAGCGCCGCTTTAAAGCGCATATCAAATTTGTACGCACCTCCTTCACTCTCGACTTCTTGCGGTCTATAATGTTTACGCTGTAATTGTGTGTTGTGTAATTTAAATATACAATGATATATCTCTCTGTAAAACGATACGTATCATTGTTTTCGCTCGTAGATCGATAAAACGAGATCGTTCCACTATACATATATACATTAATCATTGTCTTCGTACTTACTTTTCAGGCAAACCCCTTTAACACTTTAACCTCTCCCAGCATCCCGCCAATATATTCCTCGCTTTATATTTCGCAAACAGCATTCTTTGTATATGGTGATTTGCACGAGTCGTTAAAGATGTGATAACACTAAAGTTCTTTAAATAGATAGATAAATGCAGGTTTGTGAAGAAAAGCAAAAAAATTATATTATAGGTACGCAAAATGTGTATACTATATTCGAAAAATTTAATTCACTTCAAGGATACTGTGACGCCCCCTTTTGCTATTCATCGTGCTTGATGAATTTATTTTCCTTCAGAGGGCAGCACCTCGCAAGTTATTTTACCGTGACATTTTTACAAGGATTCCAAGTTATCGATTGCCGATAACTTTACTCGTTCGATAAGACTGAATTTTCACTTGACACTTTGACGCTGAATTTCAACGTCGTGATAAAAAATAGATATATCAATTTCAAAGTTAAATGAAAGTCCAGCCTAATAGAGTGCGTATTTTAATGCATATTTAAATTACGCGTGCATTTAAATTTCGATAATGGAGAATTGGAAACAGAAACTCGCGGAAGGAGATGTGTGTACAAAGTTTGTGACATCAATATTGATCATTTATTTCGCGAAGATGCATTTTATATTTTATATGCACATATAAACAGATGATGTATTCTTTAAAAAGAAATGTAATATAGCAATAGAATTGTCATACGTACAGTTAAAATATAATATGGGATGTCTTGTCAATCGAGGCTAGGGGAGAAACACACACTACACCGTCTCACTCGCTTACGAGTCGTAATATCGCTGTGATTAAAGTATTCTACGCGTTGCACTTTATAATTGCATTCCGCATGTGTCAATGTGTTTAATGTTACGACACAATACTGCTTTAATTAAAGAATATTTCGTACAATACCTAATTATCGTGGCGAGAAAGAGCGAGCGCGTCTCGACGCGTGCGACTTTGAAACAACTTTGACCTCCAGGCGGCGCTGGAATGCGGCACGTCACGGGTCACGTGTCACTTGTCACGTGACGGACGCGGAGTGGGAGAACAGCTGTGCGCGATGCGCACTGCGCGTCAGTCTACGTCAATCTCCCCTCCACCGTCTCCTACTGCGCAGCACGACGAAGCAAGAGAGAAGCATCTCTCTCTCTCTCTCTCTCTCTTTGAAGATGTTTTCAAAAAATCGTTTTCTTATCAAGAATATGTATGTCACAGTGTGCTATCTACATGGTGAGTGAAAATATTTTAATAATAACATATACATATTTATATAAATTAAAGAAAAAATCATGCGCGACTGAGTAATGATTTTATCGATAGTCGGAAAAAAGATTTGTCATTTTAGTTTGCGAAATGGACGTGGTATCGTGTTCAATGTTGCTTGAATAGTTCTTTGAAATTGATAAATATAAATGTTCTTTATAAATTTTCAGAGGGTTGACATGGTTTTGTGATGAAGCTATGGAAGATACGAAGATATAATTTCCAAGCAGATAAAATAGGATCGAAATATCTGATGTGAAATTCTGTAAGACAAAAAAGATTAGATTAATTTAAGATTCATGAAACACTTGTTGGATGCCCATGTGTTTTTAGTTTACAAGCATTATTATTCTGTAAGAAATCGAGATTATTAAAAGAAGAATTTAATTACGGATGACCGTTAAAAGTTTCAACTGTTCTTAGAAAGCGCGGAAAGTACGAAGGTTCGAGAAAGGTGTTTGAAAGTCACTCAACAAAATATTCACTTGAAGACAAAGACTGTTATTTATTACGAAAGACTCCCGTATACAAAATCAACTATCTTTTTCGGTATACTGCTCGAAGGAGAGTCCCGGGCCTTTCCGCTCGCTAGCTTAAATACCCTTTTGACTCTCCCGCGCGCGCCGCTTTAGTTTGCGCCCTATACGCTTATCGCCGAGGGCAGCAGTTATCGGGGACAGCTGTCGTATCGGCGCGTGCGCAATCAGCCGATCGGTGGCGATTGCTTTCAATTCATTATTTCCTTTTTTCTCATACTTCAAAATTAAAGTCGTATATTATCACATTACAAGCAATTATTATTATTTATGATGTCATAGTGACATCATTTCTTTCTAAATGCATGCAGAGACAAAGGAAATAAAATAAGCTTATGAACAATAAAAGCATATATGAGCATCTAAAGTGAATTTATCCTTATATCAAATGTTAAATGTTTCAGAGATTTTTCTACAAGGCTCCAGCGAGACAAGATAAGGAATCTTACAATTTTGTTTAATATGATGGAAATGTTACATGAAAAGGTATTTTTCTCTCTGTTTTTATAAAAAGTGTAAATCTTGTGCATATAAAACTTGTGTATAAACTCGTATGTATAAAGCTCGTAACAAAAATTAATGAGAAATGTATTCATATTGCAAACTGTACATTACATTTGCATTTACTGATCACCAAAGAAATGTAACATACAGGTTATTATCAAGTATCTTATTTTTAAATCAAAAGTTGTTTTTATCATAGATGATTTAAAATTGTTTCAATTCAAATTTATTGCCTCTTTGTTTCAATATAACTTTAATCAAATACATTTATTTTCTTATGCTATAAATATCTGTTTATAAAGATAAAAAATTGACAAAGTTAGAAAATTTAAAAATACTAGATGCAATAGAGCTCTCTATAAAATTATAGTATTTTAAAACAGAAAATGAAAGTGAAATAAAGCCAGATAAAACAATAAGTTAAGATTCCAGTGGAATTTCTTTCTTTAGGTGTGTTAATACAATATTACGGTTTGTCTCGTTAGACAAATCTGATTTGTCTCCCTTTAATGTTGATCTCGTGTCTAAGCACATAACATCAGTGTTTAGAGAATGCTGTTTATCATCCAGATTCTTCTGGATACGTCTAAGCAAAGCTTCCAAACTATTATAGCTTGCTCTGAAAAATAAATATAATGTAAAGTTTAACAAACTGAATGCTAAATGATAAACGATTATCATTAATAGTTAAGACAGATAATTGAATAATTAAAAACGTTTAAATAAATAAATCAGATACATACTTTGCATGCTCAATAATCTGAATCAAATCTTCCTTAGTCTGTTTTAATTGTAAAACTTCGCCCTTCAAGCCTAATTCAACTTCATCCTTACAAAGCTCCGACCCAGGTCGATAAGCACGATTTTCTAATCGCGTTTCGACACATTTTACCACACCTGTTTTATTCATTAACGCTTCTTCCAACTGGATTATCTCTTTGCCCAACACTTCCATTTCTTTTTGCACCTATTTTAAAAAATATAGATGAGAGAAAATACTTTTCAGTATTCGATATTTGTTCTATTATGTAATTATTATTAACTGCTCTTTAATTTCTATTTACATTAAAAATTAAAATTGAAACTTGTTTTCTATTTGTGGATATTAAAAATTAATAATCTCATTAGTGTAATATTACAAAATTAACTGAGAAATTATTGTGCTGTCTAATTATATTTATTAAAATCAATCAAAATCAAGGCAAAAAGATAAGATACACCACCTTAAGCTTCTGCCATTCCATTTCATTCCTGGCTTTTTGTGTTTGATAGATCCTCTTTCTCAAAGTGTAATCTGTCGCATCTTGTTGAGCTTTGATATCATTTCGCGCACATTCCTTCATCACGCGCATAGCTTCGCGAAAAGTGTAATTATCAGTCAGTTCATTTTCAACTAACATTTTTAAACGCTGACATCGATCCAACCATATCTCGTACGTAATAGAACTGTGAAATAAGAAAGAATAGATTACTAATTAACTGTTAATATTAAAATCATATAATGAGGAAACAATGATTTACTTTGTTTTTTCGGTAATTGGCTTGTAGCTGAGGTTTGCACAAATGCCATCCAACTCGAGATTTCCCTTATCTATTCTAATAGTTTCACTTTTATCTTCTATATCTAAGCTCAGCTTAAATTTCACGTCTTCCAAGTGATTTAACTTTTCCCACGCAGCTTGTGATCTGTGAATCACAAATAAGAAAAAAATTCTTTTCTAATTTTTTGCATCATCACAACTCGATGATCACCTGTTGGTGAATGTTTCTTTAACATTCGCGATCGCGCAGAGCTCCTTTTTCAGCTCGATATCAGCTTCGTCGTACGTGAGCTCGGTTCCTCTACGACAGTCCCTTATCGAGATGCACTCGCTGACAATTCGCAGTGGATGGTCTATGTTTTCAATTTCCTTCTCCGTATCGGCTTTCTCGTCTCTTAACAAGCGCATCTCGTCTAATAACTTTTGCAGCAAGTCCTCCAACGCGTCCTTCCACCTCGACACTTCTGTCACCCTGTGAAAAAGTAAAATGTTACAGAAAATTATACGTATCTTCCTATACTTAACATCGATTGAAATTGATCGTGCTTTAAATTAAATTTATCTCAGAATTGGAATTAATTGTACATGCAGAGGATAAGGAATTGTCAAACCAAAGTGACGTTAAGTTTTGTCTTTGCACCTGTCCGCCAGGCGAGTATTATTTGTATGAGTGTCCCATTTCGTTGTCACGTTTCCCTCGGCGCGAACACTTTTGCCCGAATTGCGTAGCTGACAGGCCTCAGCTCGTCTAATGTCAGCGCTTCGTCGCAGCTCCCATTGCTTGGAGTACCAATCCGGCAGACCGATATGGGGCAGAGGCTTCTCGTAAATACTCACGAATTTGGCCATGTCGATACGTTTGAAACGAAGATGCAGCTATTCAAAAGCAGAAGAAGAGATCCGTGTTCAGCAATCGCAGACGTTGTCAGGACAACGAGGCGAGGGAAATTAGTGTGCATATGATTATTTCCTGCTACATGGCGAACTGGATCTTGGAAGTGTCGGCCTACAATTTGATATTACAATCTTGAAATTTTTATATTTTTAATCATTAATTGTATTATTATATTTATTAATATTAACTGTATTATATTTATTATATAATTGTAACATATATTGATAAATTTTTAAAATATTAATTTAATTTTTTTGTCAATATATATCCCAGGTAGCAAGCATATGTCATTTTGACGCTTAATGACGTCAGTTTACTACTTATTGGGATATATTATTTTTTTAACTTTATATATATTTTGTTTTTTCAAATTCTTGAAATCGGACCTTTGTAACGAGTCATCCTTCAATTGAATCAAATTGTTATGAAATGAGCATTTTAGATGCTCTTTTGAATCCATGAATCGATTTAAAAGTTCCATCATTCTTTGAATTCTCCACAGATTTGGCTGATTCGCTTCGCATCATCTACAAGAGGAAGAAGAAAAGAAGACATAGTAAAGTTCATTCTAGATCACCGCGTAACTACGTAAAAATTTGCCCGACAAATTTTGAATGGACGTCGATCACCTAATATATATATCGATGTCGAATTCAAACTACTCCATTGTGTTTCCGGTTTATAATCAATATGGCCGTTTCGTGCGGAGGCTAGTAACGTTAGAGGACGTCGTCTTTAGAGGTACAGTAGAAATTTAGTCTAGCAAAATTTATCGATCGCATCTATGACTTGAATTTCCATTCCGCGTCCGCGATTAAAATTGTCAGCGGCTTTCGTTTTTATTCCATCGATTTATCTAAATGACCGGCGGTTCGATTCTTTCATACGGGGAAATACGTCGCAAAATAAATGCACTTATTTACACTCGCATATAGGCGTTTTTTTTACACTTCTGCACTTCTCTGCGTTTAAAATTAGAGTATATACATTCGGGTTATGGAAAAAGAGAGAAGAAATAAAGTGCAGAGATAGAAGGAGAGGATAATATATATCTTTATATGTAATTGAAATGACGCGAGATTTATTTAAAAGGATGAGAGAAAGTATGTCAATCAATGGGCGAAAATGAACAATAGCTGCTGACAATTATATTTGGACTGTGCGAGAGAAAAATGATTGCTGTCAAAATAGAGTTGAGAAATGTCAAAATTAAAATATAACAATATAAGTTGCATCGCGATCGGCACTTTATCGATTATTATTGCATATATTTGATATTATTCAATGATCGATTAGTAGATTAATAATTAATAACATCTCAAGAAGTTTATTATTAATACTTATTGTTAGCAAAATATCGCATATAAATTTGAATATAGATTTCCAGACATTTTTTGCTTTTATATCATCAATAATTTCTCAAAATTTATATATATATATATATATATATATATATATATATATCAAAAATAATAAATTAACTATTAATTGAAAAGTGTTAAATAATTATAATTATACCGGGCATGAATAATATATTAATTTTCATAGAGAGTATATATCGATCTATCAGTTTAAACCGACTATAAATATATACTCGATCCACGATGATGATTAAAAGATCGCCATAGCTAGAATTTAGTAAACATATACTATATATCAAATCCGACGCATGCGTGCTAAGGAGAGGCGAATTTCGCGGAAGGATTCGTTCCTCCATCTTTGATAACGCTATATATTCCCGGTATTTTCCAGCAACACTCAACTCGAGTTTCCGTTGTAAAGTGCACGCGTACTCTCTCTCTCCCTCCAAATACGAACTTAACTATCTCGATATTTATTAAAGCAGACGGCGAAGAGAAAACCCAGAAAGAGAGAGAGAGAGAGAGAGAGACTCTAACGGCGTGAGGAGGAGAAAAGCACCGGCAGAGGGCGAGAAAGGAGACGAAGGAAGAGAGAAAGAGAGAGAGAGAGAAGAAGAAGGAGAGAAAGACACTGCGAAGCGCGCCTTCTCGGAGTCACCGGGTGTTTCCGCGTTTCGACGATTACCAGAAGAAGAAGTGAAGGAAGAAGGAGAACAAGAAGTTCCGCTGGGAGGCTCTTCTTCGCGGAAGGCTCGCTGGCAACGATATCCCGGTGAGGTATTATGCGTCGGCTCAGCATGAAGAACAAGCGTAGGAAATCCGAGACCAGCCCGAGCGACAGCGAGTCCGAGGAAAATGGCGGCGCGCGCGCGTCCACCGACAACGGCGAGACGCAGACCGGTAGGAACAACAACTCCGCCACGCGTAAAGGCGCCTCCAAGAGGCGCTCGCTGCGCGGCGCGGCGGTGCAGAAGTCGCCGGCGAACGCGGACGACAGCGTCGAGACCGACGAGTCCGTGGCGGAGCCGGAGCGGGAGAATGGAGAGAGGGCCGGTAAACGCCGACGAAGAGAGGATCAGAAAGCGTCCACCTCGCTCGACAAGTCCGAGGAGGACGAATACGAGGTGCGCTGACTTATATGTCTGTCTCTTTCCTTCTTTTCAGACTCTGACGTCATCCGGCGACACTAGTTGGCCGCGAGTAAATATGACCGAGTTTGCTCGTAAACAATGTTCAATCATTTTATTTCTTCGAACTTGTGTACATGTATTTTGTGTTTGTTGTGTAAATGATTTGGTTGGGTAATGTATGTGCGAATTTTTGTTTACTTTGGCAAATTATTTAGCTATTGGGAGCCAGTTCGTGATGACGTCTGCAATCGGTTGTAAGATGCAAGATGTTGATTTCTTTTAAGTATTCCTAACACAGGAGATATTGTTTTCAATGTATAACTTCAGATTGTGCGCTTTTAAATTTGCAATTATAACTTTTTGACCAAAGTGACATAATAACTTTTGATTCTATCATCGTGGTTCCCAATAGCAAACTTATAGTGTCTTTTCATACGCAGCAGCAAATCAGTCACGCAATCAAAATTTATTGGAGCATATTTCTTCGTTCTCTTATTATTTCAAGATTAAAATTACGATTTTTGCTTTTATATTCTTATAATAATCTATTTTATTCTTAAAATTTATTATTTAACTAATGTAATAATAATAATTAGAATCAACTAGTTGCATGTTCTTCTGCTTTGCTGTTCGTTCAGTTGAATTTCATCAATAGCAACAAACTGCTGCGGCAGCAAGCTGCATATGAAATGGTACCTTTATAATTGTTTATTATTGTTTTGTAACAGAGCCTAATTCTCTCTATTGGATTTTTATTAACAAATTATTAAGATTATAAGATCACACTGTATGTGTGATATCACGTTAATGTATTAATCAGTCGAATCATTCTTATGAATCTTGAATGGAAAATTATATCATAATGTACGTTTAATTACTCTATAATTAGAAAACAAAATTATGAATGAAAGTAAAACATGTATGATTGTGCAGAAGAATACATGAATAAAAGTCATATGCAACTTTTATTCACATATTCTTACTTATATAAAATATAAGTAGAGACTAAAGAAAGTATTAAAAATTGAAAATTTGATTGTATTTAAAAAACAACTATTTGATATGAAAAGTTGCAGACTTTTAAATATTTAGTTTCCTGTAAAGTTTTCTGTCATGATATTCAAAGTAATTGTGACTTTAATTAACAATATAAATAATTAATAGTCAAACATTTTACAAATAACTTTAAACACAATATGCTTTTTTATGTTTATTAAACAAATTTTTTAAATATGAAATATTTTTTACTTTCAGGTAGAAAAACTCATCAATATTCGTACCAATAAAGGCAATCGACAGTTTTTGGTGCGATGGAAGGGTTACGGAGAATCCGCTGATACTTGGGAAAACGAAAAGGATCTGAACTGTTCTCAATTAATAGAAAAGTTTCTAAAGGAACATGAGACAAAAGTATCGAAAACTGGATCACCAAAAACAGACAAATCAAAAAAGTCTAAAGGATCTTCTAAAAAAACTGAAAATGGTATATCACTTTTACAATAATAATAATAGTAATAATAATAATAATAATAATAATAATAATAATAATTATCGTTTCAATTTAAAATAGTTATTATTGAAAATAATTTTATTTAAATCAATTTCTAGACGAACAAAACAATAAAGATGACCGAGAAGGTTTGAAGGAATTTGAAGTGGAGCGAATAATCGAGGTACGTTTCAAGAAGAGTGGCACAAAAGAGTTTTTAATCAGATGGAAAGGATTCAGTCCGGCCGATGACACTTGGGAGCCAGAAAAGAACCTGAATTGTCCGGAACTCATCGATAAGTTTATGCAGAAGGTGGAAAAAGCAAAAACATCCGATGTTCGCGAACTCAGAGCGAATAGGGTACATACCAAACGGTACACATTATCGACATGTGACCACGGGAGGAGATTGTCCAAACGTAATAAAAATAAGCAAAGGTACTTTTAGTCTGCTCATTATATGTAACTATTTTAAATTGTCATCATAGTTACAATCACAATTATATTTTTTTTAATTGTATTTTATTAGAAATAAGGACCCATACTCTTTTTTGCAGAGCAACTTATCACGAGTGCGATGAATAAAGAATGTCGTCCCGTGGTCCCAATATCTGTATTTTGTTCTAAGAATTTACTTTATACTTATAGTTCGTAGTTTTACAAGAAAGAAAGAAAGAGAGAGATAATTAAGAGCGTTTTGACAGAAAGGAACCAAAAGAATATATCAAATCACGAATAATTTGCTAAATTTAGTTATTAGAGACTGTCACAGTATGTGATGTATACACATCCTCTCTACGAGGAGATGAAGAGATGTATGACAGAATTGTAAAGGATAATCTACAATAGCAGTCGTAGAGTCGTAGATACGGTCGCTTAATTTTAAAGTCCTTTAAACAAAAACGCATAGGTTAAATTTGCTTTGTCCGACTGGCTAGTCGTAAAATTGCAGGAATTGGTATTGAACCAACTTGCACGACTGCCTCGCGACTAAAAATAACCTTTCGAGTGATCATTAACAACTCTACGACCATATCTTACGACCTTACGATTGCTGTTGTAGACGACCCTTAAGACAAGTGTTGTGTGTGATTAGTATATGCGACAATTTTTTTTTTTTTTCAGGAATGCTTATTATTATGTATTTTACATAGTCAACTAAGAATCAAAATCTTTTATTTTAATATTCCACATTATTTGCAAAAAGCAGACATTTTCTTCTCATTTTATATACAAAAGATACAATTTATTATGTTTAAATGATTGTATGCGTGGTCGTCTGTCACAATGATTACAATTATGAGAGAAACTTTTGTCAAAATATTCGTTCAATAAGTGTGTATTAAAATAAGCGTATTATAAAAGAAGTTTAAAAAAGCACTATTGTATTGTGAATAATTTTAATTACAAAACGCGATAAAAGTCGATAATCTAATGAGTTTATTATATATATATATATATATATATATATATATATATATATATATATATATATGCGAATAGACATGTATATTTGCAGATCTGATATATAAAAACTAATTTTGTCCATTGTTCTGTTTTCCTCTTACATGTATTTTAAAATTTGAATATGCAATTGTAACGTTTCTCCCCAAGATAAATTTGTCAAATATTTTTGAAATTATATTAGGGAAAGAGAGGGGAGATTAATAACTATAAACAAATTAAAGAAAATACTAGTGTTTAAAAAGATAGTTTATTCATTTTATACACGCTCGCTCCTCTTCACTTCCTTTACTTGTAGACCTAAAAACATTTTATTAATATGATGACTGTCAGCAACTAAACTTCAATTTTTATTTACAAAAATTTATGTTTTATAACAAATATTAAGCACATGATGAAGGAAACATTAGAAAATACTATTATATCTTGAACACAATTTATACTTATAATTAGCAGTCTTATCGAAGTTATTATACCTGGTGGTAAAGATTGCTTCAGTTTTTCTGCCTTCTCCTTATCGGTGATGACAAGAGTGTATAAAAATCGGGAGCAGCGAACTTTGAATTTGACATTGTCAGCATTCTTCTTAATTTTCACAGCTGAAGAAAAGAAACAACGGATCAATTATATCATAGAAAATAAGAAAAAAGATATATGTATATTCTCTCTCTTTCTCTCTTATTAAGATATACGATTAATGAAGATACAGATTCGTAAAGATATACTTACATTTTGCATCTTTCCTCCTGGCCTTCAGAAGAAAGTCCTTAATCTCTTTGATTTCTCTCGGCTAGAGATAAAAAGAAAGATTATTTACATTTTTTTAGTCAGCTATTTGAATAATTGTAAAACTCATATTAGACTATGCATTAAAGATTAACATTAAAAATTAAAATTTGACCAATCAGGATAAAGAAATGTTAATTTATATTTTCTTCTGAACACTCATATTCCAATTTTCAATGAGTAATATAATACAAGGTCCACGATAAAAAAAAAACCTCGTTTTGAGGTTGTCTTGTCGCAAAGAAATATAAATACTTCAATCAGCACAATCATGCAAAATACAAATGTTTCTGTTCAAGAAACGTGTTCAAGAAAGAGAATCCGTACAGAACGTAGCCTGATAAAATTACAAATGTTTATTTACTCACCATTATTGGTTGATGTAATTTGCTCGACAGACAGGTCTGAAACACAAGTTCGATGCGAAATTTGTAGAAAAATGCAAACGAAGCGACTTAGACTTACAAAGAGCGAGCAAAACAACGTTTCGACGAAACAATGAACGCTCGAACGAAACAGGTGCGGGATACTTGAATTAATATAAAAATTATGAGAACATGTTACACACTCACCCTGAAGACACGTTTGCCGGAAAGAAAAAGAGACGACGCGAACAATGGCGATCAGTCGATTTCCGGCAGGTGAGTCAAATCATCGACTAAAAATTCGAACTGGAGAGATAATAGAGATAGAAATAATATTCGGAGAAGTAATTATTATAAATAGAAATATCGAAGCAATTTAAAATTGTATTCAAATTATTTCTGTCAAAATTCTAGTATATATATATATATTTGACAGTTGATCGCGGCTGCTCGGTCGGTAAGTTAGGATTCCGCCGATGACGTCTCAAATTTCAAATAATTCTGATTGAATCTTTATATTAGCTGAACGATTGATTTTCCACAGGAAGATCCGTGAGAAACCGTAAATTCATATCATATAAAAATTATTCACAATATTGTATATATGTAAAAGTATATATACAAATGATAAAAAAGATATATAAATAAATTAACCGCGCGATATATTGATTATTTTTCGATTCTAATCTCTACACATTTAATAGAGCGCGATAGGCACGCTATTGCGACTGCACTTTTTATCGTTTCAAATTATATTGTACGAAATATATATATATTGTCTGAATCCATTCAGATTTTAGTAGAAGAGAAGAAATAGAACAAACGAAAGAAACGTCAATAGAAAGCGCGGGATAAACATGCAAACACAAAACCTCGTTTCCTGGATGTGTCATGAATTCGATCATATATATATATTTAAATACATATATATATACGCAAGTGACGTGAAGATTGCCGACTAATATCTCGCAAAGATATCATGCGGGATATCGATATATATCGTTGATTAGCGCCAGTCGGAAGCGATCGAGTGTCGGCACATGTGAGATCTCGCGATTTGTCGCGCGTACACAAAAGAGTGCGTATTTATTCTCTGTATATCGCATTCGTCCATCGGGAGAGACAGGCGGTACGAGACGAGACGAGACGTTGCGTCACGACGCATAAAACCGCGAAGCGGTTCCGGATCCTGAACGATTGACGCGCGCGCGCGCGCGTGTCCGCATCGACGTTGTCAAGAAAGAGATCCTCGAGATTGCGAGGCCCTGACCCCGGAGATCTCGGAGGCCGTGAAACGTTGAAAAGGCAGGATGGAGAGCGAACAGTCGCGGGAACAGGAGCAACGCGAGCCGAAACCGAAGGATAGGTTAGTCCTTCTCTTGGACCAGATCGAGGTGCACGTCGAGCAACTCCGGAAGGATGCCTCCAGACTCGAGGAGGAGAAGGACTCCCTCCTGACGACCTTGGACACGCTCAGGAACAACGATCTGCTGGTCGCCCTCGAGGAACGTGAGTGTTTGAATGTTTCATTAATTGCATCCTCGATGGGAAGACTCTAGAATTGCGCTAGTGACATTCTAGAATGTTACAGAAACGAAAGGTGGATATTTTTTTACCTGCGTAGTCGGGAAGTGTCAAAATGATATTTTTTCATATTTATGTGTCGCTGTTAAACTCTATATAAAAATACGTCGATCGTTTGTCTTCAATTCGAATCCTATTTTTATATAGTAACAATATAAATTATGATAGTATAATAATAATAATAATAATATTGTGTTAAAATATAGTAATTTGTACTAAAATGTTAATAGACATTGTGTATATTTAATAATTATGTTTAATATTGTGATTGGAAACTTGTATAATTATATTTAATCTTAAAAAGAAATACTTGAAGAGATAAAATAATAAAATGTACTCAGATTATTATGTTAAGCACAGTCTTTCAAACATTTTAAAAGCTTCTGTTTGTAACAATATTTACAATAATCATATATATTTTTTTCATAAAGCTGACAGGGATGATGTTCTGAGGTATGCAGAAAGATTGTCTATGCGATGTTCAACTGTAGATGTATTAGTTACTGTTCAGCGTGATCATGTTCAGCGAGATGCATTGCATCAGGTATGTGACATATTCAGCAATTGTATTGTACAAAAGTACAATTTTACAATGAATGATAAATTGTCATTTGATTTTAGGTTAATGGCTTGATCGATAGCTTGGTTGTGAGCTTGCGCCAGGATCCTGGTAGTACTAGACAGAGATGTGCAGAATTTATGAATGCGTGTTCCTCACATGGTATGGGACATTCGGATAAAATGTTTGAAACTGCTATTCTCGGATGTACATTGGATGATCAGAAGCGAATCAAGAAGAGATTGCAGGGATTACTCGACTATATCGACAAGATGCACATTCTGGAAATGACACAGTGAAAAGGGACCCCAAAGGATTATTTGGCAGATAAGTCTGCCTTAATCTTTATACAGATTTCCATTATCGGAGTTTTCCAAAATTCCGACATTATCGCGAGCGCAGCGATTTTGGAGAACATTTGAGAGAAATTGCGCGTTCTTGTCTGCGCGTCTAAATTTTTCACTTTTTTCCATGAGTAAATTAAACCGCGTAGAATGTTTAATTATATATGTAGAATATGTAGCAGTCAACTGGATTTACCATTGTAATGACATCATTCCTGATAATTTCTTATATGATTTCCGAATTTATTTTTTAAGTTATTTAGCTTTTCAGTATTCTTTAGAAAAAAAAGAATACCTTTGCTCGCGAAAGAAAACGATCGATAGTTTTCAGACCTAATATATGTACGTTTTGAAATAAAAAATTTCTACAAAAACGTGTACACAAATACAAATGTGAAATCTTAAATGTTACATTAACGTTGAAAGTGAAATAAATGGGCCTCTTTACATTCTTATTTGATTAATTATATACAATATACAAAATATCAATTATCATAAGAAATTATTAGTTTCCAGAGGTACGATTAACTCAATTTATCATTTTTAAAAGATATATGTATATGTATATTTTTTTCTTTGGAGAGGGTAACTTGAAATAATGACTATTTATTTAAAAATTTTTAAATATCTTTCTTATCTTATGCATATTTAGAACATCTCACAGATTTCACATGCGCGCTTATCAAAGATTTGTTTTATTTTTAGTAAAATGTACAAAGATTTCATGGTGTGTTTTGTAATATAATTAATAAACATAGAGTATATATATATAACACATACAATAGATATATTATATTAACTTACTATAACAGTTGCCTTAAGAAAATGTGGTTTATATTAACTTATTTATATTATATTTAAACCACATAATACCACGTAATACCACGTTGTTTTGGAAAGGCTTTCTCTTATTTTGTTCAAGTTTATATTTAAATTCTTATAAAGCTGATTATTATTGACGATAATAAAATATTTTTCATTAAATTTAGACATTAAAATATTAAAATTTTCAATTGTACCTAGCCAGTTTTCAAAGCAATAAAAAAAATAAGGAAATTATGTCGATAATAAAAAAAATATTTTCATTAAATCTACACAAATGATAAATTTCTCAAACGCTAATGCCTGAAACAATTGAAAAAGAATGGAACTATGTCGATATTAAAACATTTTTATTGAATTTAAACATTGAATAATAAATTTTTCAGATATTTTATTGTTGTCAGACTTGAAATAATCAATATTACCGCGCTAATGTGTAAATAACTACTATTATATATATATATTTATTATATATACTATAATTGTTTATAATATATATAATAAAGAAGTATATATAATAATTATATATTATAAATATTTATAAAATATATATAATAATTATTAATTATTATTATCATTATATATATATATAATATTCTATTAATATTGATATTACAACCCTGACTTCATAGTTTGAGCTTTGAATGCAGTGCAATTTAAGAAAATATGATAATTTTTATTCAATATAATAATATGGCGAGAAATTTACAAATTACGCGTGGCATAGAATTGTACTTAATATGTTTGCGATTAGTTTCTTTGTAATCTATACCATTTGATTAACACTTGAGTATAATTATTTCTATCGTGTATAAGTTAAGAAGCTCCCAATTGTGATGCGCATACTATGTATCCTTTACAGCTGTAACTTTTTACCATAGGCCATTAGTTAAAATCTGACGAGCTCGCACTGTTGGACACTGTAAAATCACCCGTCCGTGTGTTTCGCTTAGCAGAATAAACTATATATATTTACAAGGCACACATACCACGTTATACACCTTCGTGCGACATAGTATTCCGAGCACAATGTAACGTTGTATCGTACGTACACTATTAGAGAAAATAGCTACAAGAGTCTACAAGCGTTCTTCACGAAATTTCGTTTCTTATGACTCTTCGTTTTGCCGCCACCCGGTCGGAGGATTATCGTTCCATTACCGGCATTACGGCCGCCGCACATTGATCCGTCTGGACTGAACGCACCTGTAATAAAGTAAAGAAAACATGCAACGTCATCCGCATTACGAATGAATATTGTGTGGACTTTTACAAGTGGTAATACGAGATTAAATCTATTCGTACTAATGACGGAAGGCGATCTAGGCTCCGCGGAGTACAATCTCAGGTCGTCCTGATAATCATCGTCCGAGCGACGCATCTCGTGCAGACATCGCGATGCCAAGTGCCGGAAGACGCTCATCACGCCGATATCCTCCTTCACGGACGTCCGTAAAAGTTTGCAACCCAAGGCGCGGCCGAGTCTTTCGGCTTCGTCTCTGTAATATCCAAGTTTCTTTTACTTATAGATAGAAATTTACATTTTTTTCTTCCAACATATTTGATTGAAACTTACGGATCAATCATACATTGTTCCACAAGATCGATCTTGTTTTGCACCAGGACCGTGGGAATTTCTCCACATTCATTCTCTACCTGTAAAAGGAAAGTTTCAGAAAGATTATGCAAAGCGCTTCATAGATCAGTTGTTTTTCACAGATTGTTTTTAATCATTTTCTTAATTTTTTAAATAAATTTTCATGCATTAATTTTGTTGTTCTCGTTTTTTTAGGGAGAGCTAATTCAGATGAAACTTCTTGTAGACTCGTACCTTGAGTTTCCACGAGGGAATAGCGTCGAAGGAATCCCTATCGGTGGCCGAATAAGCGAGGACGCAGGCATGAGCACCGCGATAGTAAGCCGCAGTGATAGCGTCAAATTCTTCCTGTCCTGCGGTATCCCACAGCATTAGTCTTACATCCTCGCCGTCGACCCTGTATGTTAAGAAAACATTTATTTACATAAGCATGTTTTGCTAGAAATCTTTTAATTTCGATGACTATAAAATATTTTGCCATTATATATCATCAATATCATTAAATATAATAATATTTATATTTCTATTTTAATTCAGTATTAATAATATATGTATATATGTATCTAAATAAGTGCGAAAAATTTTATAGGAGATGATCCTTTGTCGAAAATTAAGGGGGATTTCTTATATAAACATATACTAAAAATTAAATAGGGATTTCATCCCCTTATAACGAACAGGAAGATCAAAAAAATATTAATAAATATATCCTTTTTATTGGTAGAAAATATCCACCAAGTTTTATTTTTTTAATTTCTCTGAAATTTGAGCAAAAAAAACTTAATTTTTACCTCTCTATTTAAAAAGTGTAATTTTTCAGGGGGAGAGATATAAGAAACTCCCCTTAATTTTCGACAAAGAATTATCTGTTAAAATTGTTAGCACTTTTAGATACACCCTGTATGTATGTATAGATATATCTTTTATGAATTATGATTCAAACCGTTAACTGTGAATTATATAATCTTTATAGGAATGCAAAAAGTAAAACTAAGGATATTAAAAGATGGATCGCACACACGCAATGAGACAAAATTTCTTTCTACATTGACCGACATTACATCGTCGAGTATTTGGAGGGGAATACAAGAAGTATCCCACGGTAGCTTGCGCTGGCATGATTAAAATCGAGTTTTTCTCAGGCACATCGCTCTCGAACCCGTATACCTACGTAAGTAGCAGTATGATGATCGACAGCGAATAATCAGGTCGGCTTAATATTCGATTTAATTTATCTTATTTAGCAACTCCTATTTGCGCAGCACAATTATTTCCGAAAATATTTTTGCACTCTAAATTGTCACAAATATGTCCCACTATATTTGTAACATCTCAAAAAATTCCATATGCTTATTCAGTTATTTATTGATTATCCATAATTATTCAGTATTTTATCCATGTTTTTCTCAACGCGTCTCGAGGATGTACGTATAATTAGAAAATAATTAATATGCAACAGCGTAGATTGGTGTTCTAGTTCAGTTTTTGCTCCTAATGTCAAGCATGTAAAGTCAAGTAATTTTCAATTAAAATGATTCGACACGCAAGGCAAGCGATTACTTACTCGATCTCACGCTCCAGGAAGTCTACGCCAATCGTCTTCTTATAGTCCCTCGTGTATGTACCTTTGCAGAATCTTTGAATCATCGACGACTTCCCCACGGCGCCGTTGCCCACTATCACCACCTAAATAAGATAAATATTAGCTATTACTTTTATTCGCGAACAATAGCTCAATAAAAAAAAATCAATATATATATATATATAAATTATTTTATCATGGCTAAAAATTCTTTTAAATTTAAATAAGTTTTAATGTAATTTTTATTTAAATTTTAATGATTTTCTTTATTTATATTATAATTTTATACACATATTTAAATTCAAGTAGAAGTTTTAATACAATTTTAATAAACTTCAATTATTTAATTTGTCCGCAAAGTAATATTGAAGGATCGAGAATTTAATTTTGTCAACTTATTCTTAATAATTTGCTCGTTTCTTACAGATTGACGATCGTTCGATCGAGGAACGTGGCCCAAATAATTTGGTCAAATATACTTATACGGCGTAAGAGAAGTGGGTTACGACGTGGATAAAGATGTAAGGAGCCCATAAAAAAACCGGTCGCCAAGGGCAATCTCCAGGCTTCCGTGTGGTTTAGGTCTTAAAATTTCAAATGACATGTACGGCCCACGTCACGACAGGGATCTCATCAGGAATGCTCGCGTGTACAGAAGAGAGTATATATATATTTAAATAGAATATATATATTTTCAAACGTCGATGCGCGCTGAAATTGACGACTACATAAAGCGCGCCAGGATTCTTTCGCATCGGCATCCTTCATCCCGATTTAACCGATCTCGATACAGCTATAAACCACGGACCGTCATACCACGATTCGATCGGAATTTAGTAATATACCGCGGAAATAAGAAAAGTACGGGGTGTCCGAAACAATAGTATTACCTAATATTGTATCCCCGTAACATTTCTTCATTAATTCGAAATACCACGTGAGTAATTAGCAATCGCAAAGAAGCGAATTAGGCAAATCAATCGATTAAGGCTCCTCGTCGTGGTCATGTTGGATTGTGACGTCAGAGAAAGTACAGAATGAAAATTCTGAAATATCATTTTTAAATGAAAACAATATTTCGATGAAACATTATTTTTTCGATAGCTTTATTAGCACACTTTTAAAATACCTCGAAAATTATTTTTCCTTTAACAATCAATCAACAACCAAAATGTGCAAAGAGTAGAATAGTTTTTGAGGTATTTTAAGAATGTGCTAGTGTTTTCTCGCTTCTGACGTCATAATTGTAACATGGTCGATGAGGAACCGGGAGCCTCAATTTGACACTCGATTAGAAAAATATATAACGTCAAAAATCGCGAAAGACGATATAACATCTTCATACTTTTTCATGGTAGAAGATCAAAATTCTCCGGGAGAGAGCAAGGTGGTTCGGTAGTTCCGGGACACCGTGTATAAATAATAACGATAAAAAAGGCGTAAACGCATAGTCTCTCTCTCTCTGGCGCGATGAAAACGCGAGCAGGTACCGTTACCGGCAATCGAGAGATAAGCAGAGATCACTGGAGCAGCACCGAGAGCTCGTATATGCGCGAGAAATCCTTGTATGCGCGCGCTTCCCTATTTCTTCCCCCTTTTTTTACCTTCGCTACTCAAGCACACCTGGTGCAATTGAATAGTTGAATTCAATATAGCGTACGCGAATATCCCGCGAATTTCTGTACAAATACCATCTCTCCCTTTTTTCTTCTTTGAATTAAATGGAATTTAAGAAATTGTAATATTTTATATTATATAATATTTATACAATATTTATTATATATAATATTTAAATATAATATAATTTATTAATATATATATATTTTTTTTTTAATTTATTAAATTCTATTAATTTAAATTGATTAAAACTCTATTTTTGAAGTAAATTTTACATTTTATTTTAAATTGCAAGTTCGCATTTTTCTCGAAATTCAAGTTTCATGTTGGAAAAGTTGTATGTACCTCGTCCCTTAATTAAATATACATATTTTGTATATTAATGATTCTCGAATATCTCTGCAATCGATTGGCGGTAGCGACCGGTTATAATTCGCGTGTTAATCGCGTGCGAAGTTTACCGAGTCGATTTCCGGTTGGGATCGCGAGGCTTCCACGTCCGGTTTTTTGCTCGCATTCGATATAAATTTTGTATAACAAAAGGAGGATCATCGGATAAATAGATTTCGCGGTAAACGAATATCGCGGCCAAGTGAGTAAATTGTGTATAATTTTGACGGCGCCGAGAGAGAAAATCATCATTAATAAATGTTATTAACATTTTTATTCGCACATAATTATAATATGTCACATAGAACAGTCTGCAAAATTAATTAAAAATGCAAGACAATGATATCAAATATGATGTTTAGTATGTTTCAACTTGTCTTTTTCTCTCTCTCTGTTCTAGAGCTTGAGAGTTCAATTTCACTCTTCCTTTACGAAATCGTCGATTTGTATATCGAAGGTCATCTCGTCGAGAGAGTCTACGAACCCGCCTATTCGTCAAAAGTTATTCGAGTGAAGCGAATTGCTCATCGTTGGAATATGAGACCGGACATTCGAAGAGAAGGTGAACGAATAAAAAGAAATAAAATTGGCGAACTTGGCCTCGCCAAGTAGTATAAGGTAATGACTTTGCGTAGCGCAACGACACGCTCTATAACGAGGAGCCGCTTTCCTCGCCGGTGGAAAATCACGACGAGCCAAAAAGAAATAATCAAACGCTTCTTTCTTTTTCTCTAGATCCGCGCCGGCCTCCTCGCTTCACACTTTCTGCACATGGAATGAAATAGAAATAATAAATGTGGATCCTTTCCGAAGGAGGAAGAGGCACGAGAACGAAGAATGGCTGGAAAGAATGAGATTGAAAGGAAATAGAAACGGAGTCTCGCGATTACCTTGAGTGATATCTCGAGCTCTTCCTCCCGCATTCTGCGACCGTAAAGGCGATTAACATAATATCCCACCGCAACACGGCTCCATGATCCTCGTACTCGCGCGATGATCGATTGGGCGTGCGCTTGTGCTTGAAATCAAAAGAAAGAAGTTGGAGAAATGGTTTTATATCCAAAAAACGGCGCGATATTACATGAGGAAAGCGAGGAATAAAACGAGACCCTAGAGTCGTCTCGCTCACTTCCCCTCGCTATTCTCGGTATGTACCCGGAGTCGATGACTTTGCGCCTCGGCCGAGTCATTATTCACACACAAGCGAGCGCACGATGTACGTATACGTATCCGCGGCGTCGCGAGGCCCGCGCGCTTTTTCTTCTCCTACGAGCGCAACTTTCTTCGCGGGAAAAGTCTTCTCGCCTACGAGAAAAGAGAGAGAAGAAACGGAACGGAAACGCAGCCGGGCGCAGCTCTCTCGCGCGAGAAGACGGACGGATCCGCAGGAGAGCTTTTCCTTCTCCGATGGCACCAGGAACGGAGCACGCACGCACGCATGCATGCACGCACGCCAGGCATGCACGCACGCACGCACGCACGAATGCGCGCCGCTGACCACCACTGGCCGACTGAACGGCGCACCTGTGTACGGCAGGAGACACCTGTCGCCGACGCCGACGCGCGCCCGTAGGTCTGGTGATTTTACATGTATGTCTAGTGAATGTCGGAGTGCGAGACACTAGCAGCCATGTCGGCCGCTCTCTCTTTTTTTTTCTTCACCTTCCCAAGTCGTTCATATATGAGAGAAATCTTTTATTTTTATTTCCTCCTGCAAAGAAGAAACACAATTATTATTTAAGTTAAGAGTTTACAATTATTATTATTGCAAACGAAAGGCGTCTCTTAGAAATTTAAAATATCTTCTGAATGTCTTCTTTATATAAATATATAGTGTCTCATTTTAATATAAATATAAATTGACATGTTATAAACAATGTGTTTAATTGAAATATTTTATAAATCTTATTCTATTAAGAAAAAGGAAACGATAAAATTAATTATTAATTGCGAGCGAAACGTTTTTTTTGTGTCTCAAATCTCGTACCAAAAAAAAAAATAGTCTTCTGACATATCTTCAAAATGTCTTTTATATATATATATATATAAAGTCTTATTTTTAAAATATAAATTAACATCCTATAACAATTTTTTCTTAATTGAAATCTTTTATAAATCTTATTCTATTTATAAAAAAAAAACAATTATTTCGGACGAAATAAGTCTCAAATCTCGCTCTTAAAAATTTGAAATAATCTTGATATATTAAAATGTGTTATATGTATATATAAATAGTGTCTTATTTTAATAAAAATTGACATCTTGAAAAGTCTTCAGAGTTGAAATTTTAAGCAAAAGACGTTCTATTGTACAAAATGCTTTTAAATTGAAGTGTATAACTACTTTACTACATCTTTAAATAACTTTAATGATTTCTTTTTTTCAAATTTTTCTCCAACACATTTTTTGTAAATATCGAGTTTATATATGAAAACCTAACGAAAAGTTCAACCACTTCCATTGAAACCAGACATTTCGTATAAACTGTTATCTGGAATAATTCTTATCTTGTATAAATTTCGTCATGCTATCTGATAATCGGCATTCGGAATGACTTCATTTTCGTAAACAAAACTGTTGCGTTTATTTTGTCGATTATTTCTCTTATACATCTAACGTACTTTAATATTTTCACTCGCCACAGGTGTCTATTATACATAATTATTTCGAAAAGGAAATCGATCCTCTTCTTCCAGTATTATAGGAAAAGATTTTTGTCCGGATAAGTAGCTCCAGTAAACTTTCATCCGTTTTGTGCTTGTAATCGTTGCATTACATTCCTTATTAATTATATATAGTCTCTTTATCTTAATTAGTATAGTGTCATAAAATGATAATTCTCGACAATTTTCTGCGGACAGTTTGGCGATATCAGAAAATTTCTCAAAACAAACAATTACTCTCTGCCGCAATCCGTCTTCTTACAAATAACATACTTCTTCCTTTTACCAATTTAAAAGTTTTTTACAACTTAGTAGATAACAATTATCGATGAAAATCGTACTTGCTACGAGAAAGTTGATCATTATACCAAGTGATAATAATATTATATAAAAGCTTATCGTATGATACCGCCTGTGTATGAGCACACACCTTTGAAATTCACGATCAATTTGGTACTATTAACACAGCTCTGACTTCTTCAGAACAGAAGATGCATGTGTATAAAGTGTTTGATAAGATTTGCATCAAATCGAGACAATTCTCTGACGAAATTAGAGTCGACCTTTTTCTAGACTAATTCTAGTGTTTTTTTTTAATATTATTTTGACACTTTATTATTAAAATAAAAGCAATGCAAAAAATTGTTAAACCGTAAAGAGTAGAGTAAAATTTTTTTATTGCAGTAAAAGTCGACTCGAAATTCGTTGTAGAATCGATAGGCGAAAGGAATGGCGATAACTTTTTGGCACATTCCGTACAAATTTGTGTGTATGTGTGTTTGTATGTATTAAAAGAGAGTAAGGTATTGCTAAAATATCTATATATAATTTTACATAATTTACCGTTATAGATGCATACATTTATGAAGTATATTTTAATATTATCCACTTACGTTTAACCGCGTAATAATAATAATAATAATTAATTATATTAATAATTAAATACAATAATAATAATTATTATTATTATTATTTTCAAATATTCGAGTCACGCACACTCGCTAACGTGAAAAAGTCGCGCAATAAATGAGTATAATAAAAACACTTAAACGCGGTATATATAAAAATATATAAAAATGATGAATTCGAGATAACATACATGAATGTATAAAGCCGAATGTGATGATTAACTCTTTGCGATCTCAAGCCGATTGGTGACACATCTCCTATTAGTATAATTATATTCGCACGTTGTGTGCATCTAATTTTTTATTAAAATAATAAAAAAAATAATGAATAAATAGAGTAAAAAATTTAATATACTTTAAAGGGAAGGCAAACGAATGACATAAAACCTCAACTTTTACCTTTGTGATAAATTATCTTTCACATTTTCGAGTTTGTTTTGAATCGAGATAGCGTTTACGCTATCAACAAAGTTATCACCTTGATTTCTGATATAAACCGATAACTGTCATTCAAGCATTTAGTATAATTCTAGTTAATCTAATATAAAACACGATAAGATAAATGCGATTGTACTACATCTTCAAATGGATAATTCATGTGCCGGGGAATATCTCCGCTTGAGATAGCAAAGGCGCAATTTGTGATGTAAAGACATTTTCTTTTCGGAATAAAAAAATATTCGACGATATACTGATTCGCATTCACGTTTTCGTAGCAGATGCAAACATTCCCGATACACGGATATTCGAGTGTGCATTTCGTAGATGCGTACTCTCTTCACGTACACTTCCGGAAGGTGATCTTATTACATACGTTAGTAACAAGTGTACTTTAGAAAACGTTAGCTGGCAGTTGGGTGAGTCAGTACTAATCGTTTCGCGACAAACAGACGAAAGGGTATGTATAGAACGTCGTTCGACGTGGTCGCCGCAAGGACACAACAGTCTTCCGCATTTCTTGGACGGACCGGTTAATAAATTTTCACTCTTCACGCACACACGCGCAAACTGCGTTTCGGCGGAAACTTTAGTATATCCGCATCGCGAGAATCTCATCGTAAATGAAATCCGAGTCGTCACGCTCGAACGCTAGAAGGAATGATAAAATTGTGCATCCATGGTCCGTCATTTCGTCCTTTTTAACATTATCGATAGTACAGTTTTATCGAAGGATTGACTCGTGATCGTCGCTTCGTACGGGAATTGTGTAATACGGGAAGTACAAGTAATATCGTACACACGAATATATTACATCGCTACTATTGCCGATCGCGCGGCATCATCATCCGGAACAGTCATTTCTATCCGAATGATCGAGGTCTCTATCTCACATTAACTGACACTTATAAACGATTTTACAAAGGCCATTTAACGTCTATGTATTGTGTGTAACATTCTTACTGCGGTCTAAAACGATATCTAAAACCTCGTCGTCGCGCTCCTGATAGAGCATATACAAAATGCCAATATACGCTTGTCAAGTCATATAAGTAAAAATGTACAAATATCAATCTTCGAGCTTTATGGCAGACACAATGTGCGAGGACGAGAATGTAAAAAAAGAGGAAAACCGAGAAAGATAAAAGGAAGAGAAGAAGAGAAAACTATCGTTAAATAAAATTATATCATCATCTATCGTCCGCAAAATGATCATGATCTTTCTTATAAAAGTCACTATTCTTTTCCAAAAGTACCGCGAAAACTTGTATCGCAAATAGATCAATGAAAAAGATCGTGATAGATCGATATAACGATATCGATCGCGTCTTTTAATGGAGAAGTATGAAGGAAGATCGTTTTCATGAGAACAAATTCGCACTTTATTTAATACGCGGACGCTTCCTTGTATTCGGAACCCTCCATAGTGAAGAAGTCTTCGAGTTTCCACTGAAGTGTCTCGAACGTCGGTCTCTTCATAGGATCTTTGTTCCAGCATTCCAACATGATATTGTAAAGCGTCTCGGGGCAACCAGGTGGATTCGGCATTCTATAGCCGTGCTCCACTTGATGAAGAACTTCAGCGTTTGTCATACCTGAAGAGAGGGACGCGTTTACATTTTACCAATTCGACTATAGTATTATATGACTTCGATCAAAAATTTAAATGGAATGCAATAAGGACGTAAATCAATATTTTATTTTCGAAATCTCCTTTGGCTTTTCCCTTAGCAAAACTGAATATCCGAGTCTGATAAATAAGACTGTTAAGAATTCATCCTCCACTTGCCTTTTTCTTTTAAATTAATCAAGCTTTAAGCTCAACTTTATAAATAAATCTGCTTGAGCTATTATTGTATGCCACTTGTTATTAAAAACTAAAAAATAGAAAAAAGCTAAGTTCAAGTAAAGGACTCACCTGGATAAGGTATTCTACCGTACGTGACCAATTCAGTAAGGAGAATACCAAACGACCATACGTCGGATTTAATACTGAATTTGCTGTAGTTGGCAGCTTCGGGCGCGGTCCACTTGATAGGGAAGCGTGCTCCTATTCTAGCCTCGTACTCGTCCTCTTTGATGAGCCTAGCCAAGCCAAAGTCCGCGATTTTAACGACATTTCCGTCTGCTACGAGAACGTTGCGGGCGGCCAAGTCTCGATGAATGTAATTCTGCGATTCTAAATATGCCATACCAGCGGCTATTTGCGCGGCCATGTCGATCAGTTGCTGTAATTTTAGACCTCTGCCCTTTCCTACAAAGTAAATCGAATAAAAAAAAATTATATATAATTGCGCTATATGTATAACGATAATCCGACGTGACTATAAAAGTATTAGCTTTATCGATTTTCCGGCAATATTTTGGGATGACACTTTGCAGAATTAATGAGAAAATAAAATATGCATTATATTAAACGATTTAGAAATAGATTCGTTCTTTTTTAAAGGCAGTATTTTTTGGCGCTTTAAATAGACGTTCAAATTTCTCTGAACGAGAATATTTCTCAACGATAAGATAATGGATAATTTTTTAACAACACAGTATCTCGTAGACTCCCTTGATTACAATTTTAGAGTTTGTGAAGCTTGAGTTTTGTTTTATATATAGAACATTCTATATCAAGTGAGCTTTTTTTATCAAGTTTTATCAGGTTACTCTTTTTATTTTGACCTAACACGATTTAAAATTTTCCTTGGCATCTCTATAGCCATCATATTAAATCTGTTATTTTAAATTTTATAATTGTAGCCTTATATTTACATTGAGAAATCATCAGTATTCCGATATTGGCATTTTTTACCGATAAACATCATTTATCTTGAAAGTAGGTATCAACTGTATTGTGTAAGAGAATGATGCGCACATCTTCAGAAATATCGTGGCACCATTTTCAAACTTAGAGATGACAACTAACAACTTACAATTTGGAGGCTATATAATAGATAGGTCAAGAAAAATTTTAAACCGTCAAGCTAAAAAGGGCCCAAGCTGATAAAAAAGGATGGCTCACTTGATACGTAAAACGCTCATAATTTAGTTGGGACAAAATAAAAAAGCCGATGGGGGAGCCAAACCATACCTTGCGTACCTTGTAAGTATTCCAGTAAACTGCCGTTCCTCATTAGTTCGGTGATGATGTAGATCGGCTCCTCCATGGTGCAGACGGCGTACAACTGAATCAATTTGGCGTGGCGCAGCTTCTTCATGATCTGCGCCTCGGCGAGGAAGTCCTTCGGGTCCATGGTGCCAGGCTTGAGGGTCTTTATCGCCACCGGCGTGGTGTTGTTCCACAAACCTTCCCAGACCTCGCCGAATTGTCCCTGGCCCAATTTTCTCAGGAACTTCAACGATGAACGATCGATCTCCCATTGGTCCCGCGTACGGTGACTCAGGCCTTCCGTTACGGGTTTCTCCACCTGTCGAGCAAAGCCAAACCGGGAATCAGCCGTCGTTTTTTCAAAGAAGTTTTGTGCGTAGATGGAGTCTGTGTTTTGTCGACTATCTGTTTCTTTAATGTGGCGAGAGAGCTCTATCTTTCCGTCTTTCCTCTTTGTAAGAAAAAATCTACGCTAAGCGTAAAAAGATTCTACTTACACTATGAAAAAAAAGAAAAAAGTGCTAGCACTTAACTCTTCTGACTTCGCGGATACAAACCTATTGATCTCTCCGTATCCTGCAATCGTGTATCAAGTAACATCCAAAATCCCGGAAGGATTTGGATGGGTAAATATGATCGCGAGATCATTCAATGAAGATATACGAGAAATAAAAGAAAGACGAAGAGAGAAAAATGTAATATATAATGAATGATATAAATAATAATAATACTAATATTATGCAGAATGTCTCAAATGTCAAATGCATAGCTATGAAAAGAAGCGTGTTGTGATTTCACGCGAATCGCAGAAACACGAGTACGTATATACAGGGTGTTTTAAAACCGAAATCGACAAATTTGGCTAGTGTATTCGGGAGATTATTCTAAATAAAAAAAAATACGTTCTTCCGTTTAAAGCTATCAATCATTATAATTATAAATATATTATAACTTTGACTTATTAAAATAAAATTTCGACAAACCAAATTCATTTTTAATGTGTATAAAATTGTCGGTTGCTACAGAACACATTCCTGTATAATCTCAACGCGATAACATGCTGATTTACATTCGTTTGCCTCTCGAATAAGAGAGACCGGTACGCTTTTTTGGGACAGCCTGTATATATAGATATATATATAGATATAGATTTCGAGCACACACATACATTCGAGAAGCTGACAAGCGTCTCGCTTTTGCATCAGTCACGACGAGAGATTGATCATGTATACATGTATATGTGAATATATAAGAAAAGATCTCGTATGTAAATTGTTATTCACAGGCAAGAGAGAGAGAGAGAGCGACGTTTCTTTTTCGTGTGTGCTACCAATCTGGATTCTGAATATTTACCTATACAATTACACCACCCTCTTGCAAGGTGTTTCTCTATGATGATGCTAATGAATTGATGGAATTGTGATAACTTGTTGTAAATATATATGAAAATTACATCGAATGTGTGTGTACAGAGAGAGAGAGAGAGAGAGAGAGAGCTTTTACACGATCATCAGATATCTCTAAGTGAATGACAATCTACTGTTTCTGAAACATAATCCCGTATAAAACGGGCTTGTGCTTGTATGTACAGGCGCCAGACGCAATCATAAATGGAGAAGCGTTTAAAAGAAAAAAAAAGAGTCGAGAGAAAAAAAGAATGGAGAAAACAATGTATTATGTGGCATATATTAGGACATTCAATTTACCAAGAAAATCCACCGGGAGGAAGGGCGAGCGATAAACAGACAAACAAACACAATCTATTCAGAATATCGAACTTTTGTTAAGTAAATGCTTATCAGTCAGTGCTTCAAAAATCTCTGATATTCTATCTCTCCTTCCTTTCTTTTTTTTTGCAAGCATATATAAATTTAATAATTTACATCTCGTTTTTCCAGTGTTATCAATTATTTCTCATTTAACCGCGATTTTCTAATCTAAGAATAAAGGAAACCGAGTTCGAGAATCACAGATATAAAATCGTAGATGTAATCGACGTATAATCAATATGTTGTAGATATGTTTCTTTAAATATATCTTTAAATATATTTCAAAGATAGTAATAATAATGCCAATAATAATGAAAAAGGGGGACAGAGGGCTTTAAAAATAAAATCTCGAATTAAGATTTATTTAATTTCTTGGTATCGAATCAGTTTCGACGAAGAATTGATTCTTTCTTAAATCTGACATCATTTTCCGCGCGTCTGTCTGTTACTAACCATTAAAATTTAAATATTTTATATTTACCTTTAAAGTCTTGGTTAATAATAAAAGAGTGTAGTAGAAAAATAATAAAAAGAATGACAAAAATATATCAATCTTAATATCAATAATAATAGTAATAATACAGTTGATTGTAATTATTACCATTATCATAATTGAAGAGCGGGGGGGGGGGGAGGGGGGCGAATAAGTATCAATCACATTGTTGCTTTTGCAAAAGTGTTGGAGCTTAGACAGTTTTTTGTCAGTAGAAAATATAATTGAAAAGAATTTCTCAAGATTCTTCAATGATAAAAAAATTTGGATAAATTTCCTCCTCCAATTTGGGCGTGCGCATCTGTATATGTATGTGTATGTATACATTGTTAAAAGCGCAATTTCAGTCGCAATTTCAAGTCGCATTGTGTCGCTCTTCTTTGTCGCACGTTGTAATTGAGCACCTTATATAATACGATTCGACGTCCCAATTTCAATGTCAACTTGAATTTCAACAGACCCAATTTGAATTTCAACAGACATCATCAAAGCTGACCTTTTCGTGGAAACGTATCGCGTTTATCGTCAATTAATCGTTTCTTTATCAATAAAGATTCGCCTAAGTCGGCGATAACCGATACTCTATCGCTATATTCGACACCCGATATACGATGTTCTTTAAATTGCAGAAACTGGTGCTCTGTCTAAACTCCTCCTCCGTTCTTCGTTAAGGTCTCTGGCTTCTCGTCGACCGTGTTATAATTGACGTCAAAGGTAAGAAAACACGCTAAAAATTCTTGGATGTCATTTCGAGATGAAAAATATTTCGAAGAAACTACTTTATAGATGGCTTTAGCACACTTTTAAAATATCTCGAAAATTATCCTTTTCTGTTTATAATCAATCAATAGCTGTAAAATGACTGTAATATGAGATCCGTTTGCCCTTTAAACATGCGTATTCATTCCACATCATTTTACGGTTGTTAATTGACTTCGAAGAAAAAGTATAGTTTTCCAGTTATTTTAAAAGTGAGCTAAAACCATGTGAAATATTTTTTCATTTAAAAATGACATCTAAGAATTTTCTGCGTGTTTTCTCGCCTAGGACGTCACAATCCAACGAGGCGAGGATCCAGGAGCCTTAACTCGCTCGAGTAAACAGCAGGTCGTTCGATTATTTCTCGGTCGACCGACATGTCCAACCAGAAGCAGGTGTCTCCGGCTAATTGTTGAAACTTACTTGCACACAAGGCTTGCACAGATTAACGCACAGGCCGTCCGCATCCTTGCTATAGTGCTCCACAAGATCCTGCAGGTTCCTGAACGTGGTTCGCCTGGCGATGAAGAAACCACCCTCGTCCAATTGACGAATACGATAATGCTTGACCGTGTCACCGTCCCTCACTGCAAATGCGAAACGATCATCGATTAGACTCTGGAAGGGATTTAAACGACGATCTCGCAATTTTCTCAGTGCTACATTTCGCGTTCCCGGCCTGGATCATTATTCATTTGTTTGATATCGCGCGTCACGATACCAACCGGCGGTTTCTATTATCGTCCTATGACGTTACCTGAAAGGGAGTAATCGTTGTGTCGGCTCTCGGAGTCTCTTATCAGAAACGCGCCGTGATCGTTTTCCGGTAGCAGCAATTTTTTCTCGGCCTCAATTCGCTTAATCTTCCTGAAATACCATCTGCAAACACAAATTAGCATTATGACATTTATAAATCTATCCTTCTCCTTCTCTCTCCTTCCTCTTAATTGTCAACAACTTTGTTGCGTGCGCGAGTGACGCTTTCAAAGACGTTATTTGCAAAATAAGAATCACCATCGGTATAATAAGAGCTCAGAGTTCCTGCTTGTCAACTGTAATAAGATCTCAAACGCGTCTATATATAATATTCATAAACGCATGTAGCAATAGTTTCCATTATCTCCATGTGGATATTTTTATCTCTGTGTGGAGATAAAAAAAATGCATACAGGATATTCTAAACAGATACGACTAAAATTTAGAGCAATATTCCTTAAAATACATTTAAAGCATATTTCTTTGTTCTCTTATTATTTCAAGCTTAAAATTATGACTTTTATATTCTCATAACAATCTATCTTATTCTTAAATCCATTATTTAACTAATATAATAATAATTAGAATCAACTAGTTGCATGTTGCGTGTTCTACTTTGCTGTTTTTGTTGTTTGTTCAATTGAACTTCCAATAGCAACAAACTGCTGCGACAGCATGCTCATGAAATGGTACCTTCACACCAAAAGGATGAAAAAAATGTTATATGTACATAGGTGTGGAAATGATTTTTTCTTCTTTTCTGACGTTACGGCTAAATAAAATAGTGATCTTATTTACCAGACAAAAACGAGAAAACTATTGATCTTTAATGTTACGACTACTTGTTTATACCTGGTAGTGGCTGAATAATACCATGAAAAAGTTCAACAATATGGAAAAGCATTTCCACATGTTCACATAACATTTTTTGATGAGAAACATCTTCCTAAATTTTGGCCGTTTTGAGATGATCCTGTATATGAAAGCACTCGAATGAAAAACAGACTCACGGTTCCGCCTCGATCGACTTGAGTTTGGCGACATAATTGCTAGGAATATAACCCTCCTGTCTGGTCCTTTTGCTCTTGGCCAGCCACCAGTCACCCTGGGTGTCGTTGATGATCTCCAGGTGCTCTCCCTTCCTGAAGCTCAGATCCTCATCCGTGCGGGCGTCGTAATCGTAGAGAGCGACGAAGATCTTCGCGGTCGCAATATCCGTGTCCGGGATCTGCGGGATCGGCCTTATGGGATCGGGAGGTGGCGTCGGCACCGGATTAATCTGGGCCACCGGCTCGATGGTCTGATTGCTGTTCCTGTCCTTCTCCTTCTGCCTCTCGCCGATGGGCGGTTTGGTGCAACAGATCCCCATCTTTGCCTCTATCTATCCCGCTCGACCTAGTACAGAGTCCTCTCGAAGTGACGATTCACCGGCCAGTCAGGACACGTCCACCACGTCGTCGTCGTCGTCGTCCTCCTTTTCCTCGTCGCATTTAACGACGCGAGCGAGATCGCTGGATACGAAACCTCGTACCGTAAGAAAATGTACAATATGACAGTTCGTCGAATTGCAATGACAAAACGATCGCACTTGTCCAGGAGTCACCGAGTCGATCCGAACATGTCATACATACCCCACGAGGTATCTACCAGATCCGTGAGATCGAACCATAACTCCGGGATCTGTGTCAGCTGTGTCGTCCGGATGACAGTGGGTCGTAGGAGACGAGGCGCGGAAACGTCAGCGCGGAAAGGATCACATCCGCGAGGGAGGGCCCCGAGACGGTGCCACGCATTCTCCGGATATCCTCGGCTCCTGGGACGACGTCCTGTCGTCAGGCTGACAATACATCGCCGCGGAGCAACACAACAGCATGCGTGCGCGATTATATATAAATATATATATATATTCGGAAGAGAGAAACCTCCAGGCGTGGACTCTCCCGAATTCCGATCCTCCCAGCACGCGTTATCGACGGTCACGTACTAATCCGACAATCCGGAACGCGAGACAGATCGACGGCCCCTCTCTATCCGAGCGGCGAGCTTAGAAAGTAGGCGAGTCGCCAGGCGCCATTGCAGGGCGAATAGTCACGGATCCGTCAAAAGCCCACCCGTGCGTGTCTAGCTGTCAGTGTGTGCGCGCGTGCGCGCGCGCGCACAGGCTGCCTCGTATACTCACACGCCCAATTCGCCCAGTCGGTGGCGGTCGGCGTCAGGGTGTTCGATGCGTTGTGTCGTCGCTCCGTCGTCGTTCCCTCTATTTTGCTCGATTTATCCGCCCCGCACTTCCGGACATACCGCGTTCCTCGAACGTGACAGACACCCGATGTGTGACGGCACGAGAGCCTTTTCGAGCCTCTCGCACTCGAGTTTCACCAGCTCGCACAAACACACGCGCACCCAACAGCTTGCAATTGACGGAGAAAGCCACACGTCTCGTTCTCGTTCGGCAGAACAGGACTGGACAGGACTGATTTCGCAGGACCAGGACGTGCTCGGAGTTTAGACACGTTTCTCGGAGTCTGGAGCGTCCTGGAATACATGTGGCGCCTCCGCGAACAAGTTTTCAACTAATTGCGGCGCAGAAAAGTCGACCAATCTCGAGTCGTCTGTGAAAAATAATATGGCGTCCGCTATTTGATTTTGAATGTGTTTCGTTCATTTCTCTGTCGTATTTTATCTATGGTTATGCAAATTTGAAATATGCACGAAATTTAAAATAAAAATAAAATGTAATAAGATATTTCAAGTTTTCGGAATAACAATGCATATAAGTATTTAAAAAAATTAATACTGTACACAAAAATATGTATATATGCATTAAAAATATTAAATTTTCTAATAATTTTTCATCTTGGCACTTTTATATTTAAAATAACAAAACAAATCAATTTAAGCAAATTAATACTTTAACAAATAATATTGCATTTGTCGACCGTAAAAAGTATTTTTCTGCAATCGAGTTTTATTTTATTTTTCTTTTACATTAAAACTAATTTCCTTAAACAATAAATTCAATCTTCTTTTTTGCATTATTCTAGCTAAAATTTATAATAATCTTAAAAGAAAAGAAGAAGCATATCAATTAAAAGGCACAAAAGCATCTGATTAAAAGGTATTAATAAAGATATATGTTATACAATCTACTGTTGTTTTTCCATGCACATATCGTTTGATGTATTTGCTTACTTCTCTGTGAACTCGACTAACAAGATCTCGACCAAGCCAGAAAAATACAGCTAAAATCGATTACAATCGCCGCAAAAATGGTCGTCTATTTTTACAGGGTGATGCGAGAAAAGATAGATAGGTCTTTCGACGAGAGTTTTATCAATAATAAAAGTGTAACAAATATTTCATATTTGGAAAATTATGTCTTATTTAAAGAATCTTTTCTTCTGCATCTTTTCTTGCTATTTTTTTCTTTTTTTTTTTTTACTATTAATAAAACTTTCATTGCTGCGCATTATTATTATAGAGAAAAGAGACACGATGAAGGCACCGGGCTACTTTTCATGCATCACCTTGTATAAGTTATATATTTACAACGTTATACGGCAGTGATATAGAATATATATATTTATATATTTATATCTTTACATATCCTTGCCATTCACTAATATATGTTCTACGATACGCGCTGCTTAAAATTTTTTCCTACGAATCCCGAGTTAGGACTTGTTCCTCGAGTAAAACTTGAACGGTCGACTTATCACAACGATTAATCTCGACACTCTACTTTTTTATTTGTCAAAAAAAAAAAAAAAAAAAAAAAAAAAAAAATTGACAAAACTGTGTATAGTAACAACGCTTACAATCGTTAAATCGAGGAACGCGAATCCGTTCTCGCCATCATTCACAATATGTATATCTTGAAGAGCGTCGCGTCGTCTCTAAAAGACACGCATATCTATAGCGAATCGAGGCGAATTGCAAAAAAAGTGCATGGATTTTCGTTTCTATTTTGTCGGCCTATTATCGAGAAATTAAAAAAAAAATGACGCAGGATAAAATATAATTAGATTTTACTGCGCAATTGCGATCTGAAATAATTGAAACAATTTATTTACACTCGTTATTAATCTTAGGAACGAAATTACACAGCATCCTAATATTTATCACAAAAAAAAAAAAAAATAAAATAAAATAAAATTTGGTCACGCAAAAACTGCCTTTCCTCAGAGAGAAAAATTTCTTAAATACATATCTTTTTGTGAAAGATTTCAGTATGTTTATGAAAAAAAAAAAATAAATAAATGTACATTAAAGAATTTTATAAGGATCGTTTGTAAAGAATATTTGTTTCTTTAAAAATACAATAAAATAATAATTAAAAAAATAGAAAAAGGGGAAAAATCGTAGCATTGAAATATTTTTACGACCGAAATTATATGTATGCAATTATGTTTTTTGATTACTATATGTTTATGTACAATTATTCAATTGCTCCATTAAAGAATCATAATTGAAAATAGTCCCTCTTTATTGTATGTACAGCAACATTTTTATGCGCATCTCACCGTTATTCTACAATTGGAGACCACATACTTAAGGGTTTTCCAAAAAAATGTCAATCTCACGTTTTATCCTATTGCCAAATAAAATATTATTCTGCTGCATATATTATTATATCAATTTTCACGGATATTAAAAGCTGCCTTTACTTAAGTTGTGTCCAAAAAAGCGCAAACGGTAATGGAACTTTTATTCTTTTATTTTTCCAGCACTTAATTTTGAGCGAAATTCGACTCGACTGTAACATTAAAATATTCACCAAATTATATAAGGGAATTTTTGGTGTATTTGTCCTTTTGTGTTAAGTAATTGATTGACGCAATTAACTACGTGTAAATAAAAGTTTGATATTGTAACAAAATTTAATTAAAAAAATATTTTCTATATGTAATATTTTTTATTAAATTTTAGATACTCTAATGAATATAATGTATGTATAAATGTGTATGCACTTATACACGCACATATATATACACATATTCGAGTCTTTTTATAATCGTTAAAAAGTGTGTTTCCTCATTTATACGTACTTAGTTTCGCAATTAAATGCTTCGTACCTAAAAAAGAATTGGTGCATGTCATGATTTACTAGCTGTAAAACATATATATGAAAGATTCGCCAATCGAATATAAGCAATCCCAACCGTTCGCGCAATTTTTTCGCAATTTTCAATCCACGTGAAACGTTTCATTAGAAAAATAAGGGAAAACGCGAGTGTCACCTTTCATTTGCCTTAAACGATTCTAAAACGGGCGTCTGAATCTGGCGGCTAGTTAGTAAATTACGCACTATTATATTTCTTCGCACGACGTATTAGTAGAATCGATTAAAATCTACGACATGTTCACTACGCAGAAATAGTGTTATTATGTAATAATAATAATATAATAATAATAATTACTCTCCTTTTATAGTCTATCAAAATATTCATCACAGTGCTACGGACACAAAGATTGTGTTCTGATTTATATATATATATATATATTTATATACATATATATGTATGTGTAAATAATCATTTTTTTTTAATTTTGGGAAAAACTCACGAGTTCTGGTCGCTCGCGTTCATTTGTCGAATCGCAGAGAAGAAAGAACAAATCACAATCGTGTAAATCACAAAAATCACATTCGTTTTTCCGGGAAAAAAATTGCCATCTTTTTCTCGGTTTTCTCCTCTTCTCGTCAGAAATTACAATGATCCATTGCAAGAACATGAAGTATAATGCACGAATAACTTTGTACTTTTCATTGCACGTTTACCATTCGATCACACTTTTCCAGTTTTTGATCTCTCTTATTATATTTCATACTGATACGAACGCGGGACCGAATTCGTCGACGTTTTTCCGCGCTTATATCACTTCTTTTTTTTTTTTCGTTTCAACGTAGAGTGCTACACACACAATGGCAGTTATCATCCTGCTTAAAAACTCGACTTACTCTCTACGCGTGACTATATTTACAGCAATAATAAGTTGAGAAAATGGCCTCCCAACGAGATCGTCCAGCTTTTGCGATAAACTCCGGAAATTAAACTGATGATTAGCAGCATGCACTATAGAATAATTATTTACACACGCAGGTATACTATATAAGTATAGAATATAGAATAATATAATTATTATACATAGCACAAAGAAATTTGCGAACTTCAAGTCGATATCAATTATCATCAAGATCGTCAATTATTCGACCAGGAATAAAAAGATTCGATTTGTTGTACCAGAATTTTCGTTATGTAATATCATTAATGCTATGATACAAAGGAACTGATAGAAGAAATGATAGAACAAATCTAAAACGAAAATTCTCACTATATACTTATACGCAGTATTATTCTATATTGCAAGCGCGAATCATGGATCCAAATAACACTGGGAGCAATTTCGAGTTAGCTTTACGCAATCGTAGTGCCGGATTAACCTAATGTGCCCTAGGCAAATTTTGGCGAGGGCCTATGTAAGGCGAGGATTTTTTGAAAATTAATTAAACACATGAACACTAAAGAGAAACTGTAATACAAAATAATTTTTTTGTTATAAATAAAATGTTTCTTCACTGAAGCAGTGTCTATATAGTTTGCCTATTGGTTAATCCGACCCTGCGCAATCGCAATTTCGAGTTTTTAGTTTTGCGAATCAATTGTGTTGGAACCTAATTGCTGGAACAATTTCATAATATGTATCTAACCCTTGGCTCTCCGCCAAAAGCAACCCAAGAAAACCTCGACTACTTATTACAATAATCCAAAAAGAAGAGATATATATCACGATGAGTGACGATATAAATTATTCTTCCAACGTGAGCGGTTGATTTGTTCGCGTAATCTTTCCGCGTAATATACCCTCGCGTATTTTCTTCATCACTCCCCTCCCTTATAACCCTTCGCGATAAAAAAAAATTTTTAAAGAAATAATATTTAATAATAATTCGAAAGAACTATGTACACATATTTTTCGTCTTAAATATTATTACAACTATAACATAACTTATTCCTACAAACTGTTCCCGATAATTTGAACAGAACAAACCGTTTAGAAATAATAAATAATAAGAACACTTTCCGATCACTTTCTTCTATTATCATTAAAATAATAATCATCATAATTGTCCGCATCGCAAAGAGTTAGAAGAAGAAAAATCTCCAATTTGGATCTTGTCGAATCGTTCGTCGCGATATCATACTTCGACTTGAGGGGGACTGGGCGGGCGGAACGATTGGCAGCAGCCCCATGGAAAGTACCACGTGGCTCAGCACCTTGGCGAAAATTTCGGATTCGTAGGGCCGTGGATGTAACTCCTGAGTTCTTTCGGCGGTTCCGAGCCCAAGTCCGACGCCGTGTCCACGTCGGACTTGCGGCAGATGATCATACGGATGTCCGTATGCAGATAAATTCGACCCGACTTGCTGGACATAAATCTGAAATAAGAATTCATCACTGTCATCTCTCTTTCTTTCTTTCTCTCTGACACATCCCTCTTGGAATCATTTTTGCAAAAACTTATTCAGACTTCTTGCCTCTCGCAAATATTCCCAAAAGTGCAAGTATTGCTATAAAATATATGTATGTATTCAAGTTTTAAATATATAGCAGATCTTTAATTAAACAAAAAAGAATGAAAGATGTCAAAAATATTGTAAACATTTATCAATTTTTATATATTTAATTTGTTTTAATGCAAATTGATGAATTTGAATATTGACACGTACCTAAGGTGAACGAGGTAGCGCAGTGTTTTGTCCCGCAGTGTTCTTTGACGTAAAAAAGTATGAGATCGCGGCGGCATGTCAGATAGATCGTACAATACTACGAACATCTTAACGACTGTACCCAGTGGATTGAGAAGAGTCACTTGGATGGTGCCATTTCTTGGTACCTGATAGCCCTTTTTCTCAAGATTAATATGAGCCTGCAAATATAAAGATATCTTTAATATTTCAAATTATCAAATTATTTTTTATATATTATTAAGATATTATCTATGCTTGTAATTAATATTTATTATTTATAACAATTATATGTCAGAGTGTATGTTTAAAATACATGTGAATTAGTCCTAAAAACGTACAAGGTATGGTGTGGAGACTTTATCGTTGTCACCGAGCGTGTAGAAGAACACAGTAACTGGAAGCTTCTGATGTTTCGGGCAGAAGGAACCGCTGGCCCCAAGTTCCGCTGTGAAACCGTGAACCGTAGACACAGGCTCAAGTCTGCCATTCAACGCCGACTCCTCGAAGCTGCCTAGAAGAGCGTGACTCTGCGGTCGGTGGCGAGAGCTGGAGCGTCTCTTGGGCGTCTCTTCGCCGTCACCGGCAGTCTCTGTCTCACGATCTGTCTCTTCCAACGAAACCGCACCTGGACTCGGCGGCGTATTCAATTCGAACAACGCGCTGAAACGTGATAGATCGTTTTGGAAAAACAAAATTCATGTTGCAGCATCAACTAATGATGGCATCAATGAAAAATATTACAACTATATTTTTTTTTTTCGATACTTTCAATTATTAATATCTTGTAATTCTAATCTAATATGTAATTTTATATCTGTGTAATATTTTATCTTCAATATAGCAGCGATAGAAAAATCTAACGAATAAATAATTCTGAAAAAAAAAAAAAAAAAATTTATAGGTATCCAATAATATCGTTCACTGATTACCATCGGATATTCTTTTTCGCAATATTCCGATAAGCTTGACGTTTCGTACTTTCTTTTCGAGGAGACGGAATTCAAACTGCTGTCGTAGTCGAAGCAACAGCTGCCCCTCCTCAAAGGCGCCGGGCTGGAAGTCAGCGGCAGACCAGTTCTACTGTGGAACACCATCGACGCCGCGTTCTCCAGGGATCTGCGGAATCTCTCCTGCTCGAGAGCGGACGGAACGCTCTTGTCGACAGTCTCGTCGTCTCCCGTAGTCTCCGCGAAATCGTCCTTGTTATTGTTGTTTCGCACTTTGGAAGACGAATGTCCGTTCTGCAGAGTGGTAGTCGGACTGGTCGAATCGTTCTTCCGATGAACGGCAACAATATCCCTCGTGTTCTTGCATTCCCCATTCCCGATCTCGGAGGATTCCTTCATACCTACGAGCAACCGTCCGTCATGATAATTCTGCCGGTTATTTAGGCCCGCAGAATCGTTACATTCCCGATCGTTGCTATTTGTACTATGCGTTTTGCGTAGGTTTTGATGTGCGTCTTTTGTACTGAGCTCCGGAGCCGTTGCTGCAGCCTCTCTCTCCTCTGAAAAGTTCGCAAAGTCGATTCGTCGTTTCGCCCTGCCGTTTCTCACGTGGTGCAAATTCGACTGTTCGTTGTTGTAGCGCGACGACGTTGAATTGAAGCATTGCGGCAGCGGTGTTGAACTCGGTGTCGAATTCTCCGACGAGAATGGACTCTCCTCCGCCATCATGGCGAGCCTCTTATTCATTTCTTTCTTGAACAACTGCCGGAACCGGTGAAATCTCTTGTTGAACGGCAAGGATTCTTTCTCGTCGTCAGGCGAGATAGTTGTCCTGTGGTCCTGCCGATCGACGCTCGAAGAATGAAGATCATCGTCGCTGCTATCATCGTCGATGCTAATCGTCGATCTTGATCTGGTCCCGTTTGATGAGATGTCCGGCAGGCCCTTCGGAGGGTCCTTCGTAGTCCGTAGAATCGCTCCGAGCAACACGTCCGCTTTAGTGGAGACATTCCGCAAACGGTTCGCGTTTTCCACACGCGGATCCTCGTTTAATCTGTCAGCGTTACCAATCAGCTTCGAACGCGCCGGATGATAAACGTTCAAGTCGTAATAGACTCGATCTAGAGGGCTCGGCTGCTCTTCTGGTACTTGATGATCTATCTTCTTGCACACTCCGCGGCTGCAATCCTCGCAAGATTTAAGGCCGCGAACTCGGACGGTTCCGACATTGCGATTTATAGAATTGCTCCGAGCTACTCCTTCGTCCGAATTCGCGCACTTTGGCGGAACCTTCTCCACTACGTCGTCGCAACCTCTGTCGAGTCGTTCTCCACGTTTCTTCACATTCTTGATAGTGGCCCTTCTACGCCCCGATGGTGTTCTAGCTCGTAGCACCGCCAACACTTCGTCAACCTCCCGCTGACTCAACTCTAGATTGCAATTCTTAAATTTGATTTCTTGATTAGTGTCTTGCTGTCCAGTTGAATGGTCCGGCTGTTTCAAATTTCCGTTCTTTGTCTTGTCGCTATCGACGTAGCCCTTGGTAGCTGCAACACCCAAGACTCTTCCAGGTACCTTGCTGAACCACTCAAATAATCCTCCCTCTTCCCTCTTGTCTTTCTCGTCGGAAGACGATAGCGTCCACATCAATTGACTTCGCTTATCGACTTTCCTCTGGTTATTCTTGGTGGTATTGTCTTCTTTATTAATTTCTAACGCATCTTGACCAGTCGATACTCGCGTCTCCGCAACAATCTTATTGACATTCTTGGAGCAACTCTGATGTACAGGGCAAGCGGAGTTATCTAACTTTTGCAACAATTCATACGTTGACGGTCCAGGATTTGATTCGTGGAAAGGATTGGACTGAGCATAAGGACCGACCGGAGCATGACTGGACACATCGGCAAAAATCGGTGACTTGTAACTTTTGTCGGCATCGTTGAAACGGATCTTTGCGCCGCGAAAACTCTGAAATTTGCTATTCATATTGCTGTTTTGCCAAGAAGAAACGAAAGACCAGCTGACGGGAGCAAAGGTACTCCCGAGATTGTCTAACAATCCACCGCTTTTCGCGGTGGATATAACCTCCGACGAGCCACTAGGTTCGCTTCCAGAATTGTTGGAATTCTTAGCAGAATTATTGTAGCTTTCCTGAATCCGATCAACGTTGATTTTCGAATTGACAACCTCCGAGTTTTCCCCGGTAGTCGTACGCTTGCAACGTTTTTCCAAATTGCCCTCATCCTTCTCGATCTTCAACTGTATCTTGAACCAACGCTCCAAGTGATCCGAATTCAGATTGTTACGAGTCTTCACCTCGTCCCTATTCTCTGATCTGTTCTGAAGTGTCCGCGTCACGCTACGATTGTTGTTTGCCATCTCGATAGAGCCTCCCGAATTCATCAAACTGGACGAGTTGACGTTGTCTTTTATCACTTGTAGAATGCATTCTTGAACGGACGGCAACGGCGCAGGTTGCAAGGTCACGCAAGGGCTCTCCGCCGGGCCGCAGGGAAGCGATCGACGACGTTTCCGTTCACCGTTAGACCTGATGGTAGGCGATAATGGAGACGTATCTTCCTCCTCGCAGCGACAGTCGTGTTTGCCCGATTTGTTGCAGGTAGTTTGCAGTCTGTCATCCACCAGAGCTATCAAACAAAATGGTTTATATAATTTCTACGGTTTCTGAATAGTTTGGCGAATATCCAAGTATCAAAATCGATTTCCACCGTTTAAATCGATTCTTATTTTTCTGTATTTAAATTAAATATAATAATCTCACATTTTTTTTTTGTGTGTAATCGTTCTTACAAGTTGGTCGCAAATTAAAGAAAACATGAGAATTTGAAAATTTAATACCGTAATCTCTATCTTGCTTATATGCTTGTTTGTGAATACGTTTAATAATTGTCACGAGAATCAATTTATTTATAAGATGACGACAATTATGGGATATATGGCGCATGTTATTCATTACCAGGCAAGACGAGGCCTTCGAGGTTTTGCGCGCTGACGGATCCCAACGGGATGCTCTTGGTGGGCGTTAACGCCCTCGCGATATCTTCCTCGTCCTTCTCCTTTTTCGGATGCAGCGTGCACGTGAGCACAGGCACTTCCTCCATCCGCGGTAGTGCCCAAACTGTTACCTTCAATGAAAATTTACAAATCGATTGCATTTATCGAACCATCATAAGACTGTAATATTATATAATATTAGATAATAGTAGATAATATATATTTGTAACTAAAATTTTAGGCTCTCAAAATCATATTAAATGTCATAGGCAAATAAGAGTCATGCTTGGTACAAAGAAATTAAATTGGAGATACTGAGAAATCTTTAGTTTGAGTTATTTAATTTCTTAGTACCAAGCATGACTCTTACTTTCCTCTCTTTAATTCGAGATTTATTAAATTTCTTGATGTCGTACGAAAAAAAATCAATATCCTGCTGTACATAAATTAGTTTCAAGAAGAAATTACTTCTTCCTTGAAACTAATACGCTTGCTGAAACTGACATTGCTTATCTATTTTTAATATAAAAAAATATTTGTATCATGTATGATGCAGTACACAGAAGGCTTATGACAATTCTTACGAATTAATTTCACTCTTGATCGTGCTAGAAAAAAGTTTCTTTTCCGGAAGTCTGAATTTTCGTCAATTTATACAGATTTGCAATGTGTGTAACTAACAATAATGTTACAAATCGCACATTCTCCTCGCATACCTTGATGGAATTTCCGTCGCCGTTCCCAGCCAAAGGGAAGGTATGTTCTACTGGCGTCTCCCGGAATTTGCTGAGATTGTCCTCGGTGTACGGCACGATCCGGGTGGCGATGTAGCTCGGGTCCGCGCCGTTGCTGCGCGACCACCAAGCCGCGACTTGGCTGAAGTGCAATCGCGATCGTACTGCCTGGTATAATCCTTGAAAATTCATTGGTTCTTGATTCCTAAAAAAATTAAATACAAGTGTAATACGAGAAAGAAAGAAAATACATCTACTTCTTAAATTCCCTTACTTTCTAGATTTGAAAATACATTATTAAATCCTCGCGAAGAACTCGGATTAAAATTGAAGAGACAAAAACAAAAATATGAGCCAATCTCCAGAATAAATAAATTTTCATCAGGTCTGAAGGTCGAAAACGTCCCGTTATCTAATGTGTAAATTCTTGGATATGTCTAATTGGAAATGTAACTGTAATCTCTCTTCTCTCTCAGATTGATCATCTGCGCATTAATAGTTGCGATTAACTCATCTCCATTCTTCTTTTCATTTGATTTTCTAATTAGCTTGCGGCGGAGAACGGTAATATTTTAATTAGAAAATATATTTACGACTTACTTGCTCGGGACAACGCAAATACACCAGTACTCCAGTAACATTTCCGAAGTACACTTTTGCCATGGCGAGATGGATAAGGACGGCACGGGACACACGGGATATTTGCATGTGGACTTTGTCAAACCACACGGACAATCGCTGCATAGAAGCACTTCCACGCACAGATACGATCCGATGAAGAGGCGTTCAGCGATCTCTTGAATCAGTACTCGGTATCGATTGCACTTGAAAAATTGAACAAAAAATTATTATTTTTCCCATTTATTTTATACAATTATTTCTTACTTTTTGCAATTATTTCAAAAATGTTTAATACTATAAAAACTCTCTTTTTGCTCTCATTAATATCTTGAAGTTTCTTTCAATTTATTATTATCGTAAGCCTTTTGCTAATTCCTATCATTTAATTAATTGTCATGTACATATTATTATATGGTATTTTTTATTCTATAAATTCGTGTAAAGGTTGAAGTGACTTGGCTTAATTGGCGGACAAAGAAACCTCCTCGGTCGCTGTACAAGCCCGCTGGGAAAGCGGCGCTTAAAGTAGGTCGCCTAGGAACAACGGAGAGTAACGGGGGCACCATATGTTACTTACCAGATAGTTGTTCTCGTCGCACACGTGGTCGTTCGGAACCGCCTGCATAGGCGGTGCGCAGTGTGGGCCCTCTTTGTAGCCACGCGGAGGGCCCTGGATTCTCCCTTCGCACACTAGGACTCCAAGGGCTCGAAACACGCTGAGAACACCACCCCGGCCACCAGCCCCGTTCGGGCTGGAGGTGCCACCTCCCGTCACCGCGCCTAGGCAGTGCATACCTGAAATCCAAAGAAAACCAATGTCATTCGCGAATTTTCTCTTGGAACTTCAATTTATTTATGCATAATAAATTTTATTATTCAATTCATTTACTCTTCAATTTATTATATATACCTTTGACAGTTAATGTATAGTATATATCTTCAAATATTATTACCATATATCTTATTAAGAAGCTACAAGGAGAGAATTTACTCTGAAAATCTTGATCCTGGGATAATATTGGAAGAATTTTATTAGAGAGTTTCTCTGATTAATATATGTATTTACACCACAATAAAAATATATTAATATCCACAATAATAAAATATGTAGGATTAATTTTACTATGTATATATATATTAATATTTTTTACTTTGTGATAAATATTTAATCGTGAGAAATTTTTATAAAATTCTTTTAATATTATCCCATAATTATTCCATGAGTTTCAGGATAAATTCTAACGATAAGACAGAATTATCTCCGTGTGGCTTAATAGGGGAAGATAAATTCGGGGAAATAATATATATCTTAAAGATACTATTCAACTATTTATTTAGCTGTCGAAAGTATAAGATATATAATAAATTTAACAGGCACATAGAGATTACTATGTATATATATATATATTAATATTTTTTACTTTGTGATAAATATTTAATCAGAGAAATTTTTATAAAATTCTTTTAATATTATCCCATAATTATTCCATGAGTTTCAGGATAAATTCTGACGATAAGACAGAATTATCTCCGTGTGGCTTAATAAGGGGAGATAAATTCGGGGAAATAATATATATCTTAAAGATACTATTTAACTATTTATTTAGCTGTCGAAAGTATAAGATATATAATAAATTTAACAGGCACATAGAGATTATGAAGTAATAAAATTTAGTTACAGATACGTAATATGTTTAGAGTGATTTTGTGTCTCGCCTTAAATAAGTATTAAAGTTTCGAGGCTTTGTTGCGAGGCTCAATTCCTCGCTTGATTTCTCCCAATTAGGGCCAGTTAGAGACAGTTAATTAATTTCTCTTTTTTATTTATATACCTTATTCGAATAATTATTGTTTAAATGGAATGTAATTTTAAATATCGAGAAAGTGAGTAAAAGTAAGAAATAAAAGTTAAAAAATCATAAAGAGATTCTAATTACGAGAGAGAAAGAATTCAAAATGTTCAAAAAACAAAAGGAAAAGATTGATAAATACATGCAATTTTTATCGATACTTTAAAAATACCTTAAAAATGGAATAATAGATCGAAACCATGTATATACACAGAGAGAATTTTCTCTTAAAATTTACCTTGAAAATCATGATGATCGTGATATTGGAAGAATTTTATAAGAGTTTATCTGTGATTAATATTTATCACAATAAAAATATTAATATCTACCACAACAAGATACAAAATATGTTCGATTAATTTTACTATATACATATTAATATTTTTCATTGTGGTAAATATTAATCAGAGAAACTCATAAAATGTCCATGATTTTCAGCGTAAATTCTAAGAGAAAATTCTCCCCGTGTATTTTAAGTTAAAATCTGGAGAAATAAAATGAAAAAAATTAAAAGATAAATAAAAAATGTCAATAAATGTGCTCGAATTAAAATATGCTAAAAAATTGATGAAAAAATGGATATTTTCGAGCGATGAAATATTCATAAACGAGAAAGAAAGAACTAGGGTAATCCGGTGCCTACAGCCAATATTATCAGCGATATATCTACTTCTATAAATCTTTCGACGATCCTCTCGGGGTCTCTGTCGCTCGCTCTCGCTCTTAAACGAAAAGTTGTCGAAACTGAGCGAGTCCGAGCTGGTTTGACGATCTCTCGGGGTGTGGGCCAACGTGCTCGGGACGGCTCGTATAGGAGTGGCTCACGGATTTTTGTCGTCCCTTTAAATTTGTTGTTGTGTCACATCCGCAGGACTGGTTATAGCAGTCGCGCTTGTACAACACGTGACGAAAGAAAACAAGGTGCAGCGGCGGGTTACAGGTTCTCCGAACGGTTAGTACAACCCGACATCGGTAAAGGCCGATGCGACTTCGCTCGTGCATCGTCGATTCCTCCTCGTCGACGATCTTTCTGCGCCTCTAAGCGCTTTCGACGCTTCCCTATATAAGCGCGACGAGGCGCGTTGATTATAATAAGTCACGGGAGTGGAAACCGCAGTCTCGACGGAGTTCAGATTTCGCTGCTGCGAAGAGATGTATATACACGAGAAAATGAGCCGCGTGACGCGATTCGTGTTGTTGTTTTTACCTTGAAGGACTTGGACTTTGGGCCGGTTCTTCCAACTTCTTGCTAAGGTACACAGAGAGAATTTTCTTTTAGAATTCACCCTGAAAATCATGCTAATTATGAGCCAATATATGATATTGGAAGAATTTTATAAGAGTTTCTCTGATTAATATTTGCCACAATAAAAAGTATTAATATTCACGCAATAAGATAGAAAATATGTTCGATTAATTTTATTCTGTACATAATAAAATTTACATATTAATATTTTTTATTGTGGTAAATATTAATTAAAGAAACTTTTATAAAATTCTTCTATCATATGGCCCCAGGATTACCACGATTTTCAGGCCAAATTCTAAGAAAAAATTCTCTCCGTGTAGCATATCTTCGTCTCTTTTTTGGAATTTATCTAAACAGGCATACAAATATGCTACTTGTCTTGTCGAATAAAACTTAAAAATTGGAAAAAATTGGCCCTTTGTTATTTTTTTTTTTTTTTTCATCTACTTAAATTGACGTTCAGGGGAAAAAGTTACATCAATGTCACGATTTGCTCGTTAGATTAATATATTTAAAAAATTCTTTTATTTTATCAAAAAATCAACCGTATATTAATATGTCGTTTGACAATTTATTGTCAATAAGGCAGACGTTTTATATATGTTAATATAAATGTCGATATATCGATAATGTGGAGCATGTATGATTTATAAAATGAACAGAAATTCTTCAATTACGAAATGATACAATTGTGCAAATACAGTTGCGATCGAACAATAATTCATTGGTTCTGTTTCCCAAAATATTATTATCTTGATTTCGAGACTAATTATCACGGTGAATATTGTCGATTGAGTAATCAATGTGATTATCAATTACGATTCCATCTACAAAATGAGATAAGTACATATATGTATATCTTCCGCACTAGATAACATATTAATTGCTTAAGTATATAATTGCGATTAATCATATTTGACAAAGAAGCTTAGCATTTGTGGAGAAAAAACAAGTAACTACACATAAATAAAATAAACAATAGAGTCACGCACATTTTATATTATATTTATATTTATTTTATATACATGAGAAAATAATTTTGACATGAAATTGAAAACGTGTCCCTTTCCTAAAATTAATTTTTCAGATTCACATCTCTGTCACGTTCTTGAAAACATTTTTACTGAGAAACACGTCTGGCTTCGATTTTCGACAGACGAAGATATTATCAAAAATAAAAAAAAATAACGTATGAAAGGTGATATCTCGTGTGCGGACGAAAGAAAATTATTCAGCAGTACGGTAGGTGCACGCGATCGAACGTTTCGCGAACGGGTACTTAACGTCGCGTTATATAAACGGAAAGCTAGCGAACACGAGCGAAAACTCGAGGTCTCTTAATATCTACTCTCGCTGCCCGCGTTACGTCAGCGAAACGCACACGTTCGTGCAGTCTGGCTACCGTGGCTTTTTTTTATCCTTCCGATTTTATCAGACGTGAAAGACGGAACGAAAAGCGACACGTGTAAAAATGGCGTAAAAAAATCCAAAGTTCCCTTTTTTCGCCCATCTCTTTTAAGTCGATCGAACGTCGAGAGGAATAATTCGAGATTGTACACTTGAAATATTTTATAATTATTTCGCAACGTATTTCTCGCAATATAATCGCGTTTTATTGAATATATATATTGTACTCGCGTATATTAAATTGATGAGAAAACGCTAAATCATACCTGAAAAATTCATTAATTCGGAAGGAAGCGTCTTTGTTGCGAGTGCATACGTAATGAAAAGTGAATCGCGGGTGCCGAGAAACTCGACTCGTTCCTGAACGTTCGCGTTAAGAGAGGGAAACGATTGAGCGCGTTGAGTGGAGAGAGGGGAGGAAGAAGAGGGGAGGACGGTGTGTATCGATGGCGTCGTCAGCTGAGCGCACCGCTCACAGCTGGGCGCGAGCGACGCTGCTGTCGCCGAACAGCTGATCGCGTCGACGCGCTGTCAGAACATGGCGAGCCAGCGCGGAGCGCGTTCCTCGCGACAAAGACCGAACCATTTTCACCTCTCTGATGATAAATACATGCACCCATCTTAGATCAATGTATCTAATATATACACGGAGGGAATTTTCTCTTAGAATTTTATGAGTTTCTTTGATTAATATTTACCACGATAAAAATATTAATATGTACATAGTAAAATTATTAATCGAACATTTTATATCTTATTATGGTAGATATTAATATCTTTTTTTGTGGTAAATATATTAATCAGAGGAGCTCTTATAACATTTTTCCATAAATTATAAAATTTATCATAATGTCCCATGATTACTATATGATTTTCAGAGTAAATTCTAAGAGAAAATTCTCGCTGCGTACGTTTGCACTTATGAGTCAGGAAGATCTGTGAATCATGTCGAGTTCTCTGACTCAGGGATTACGATTCCCTTTAATTACGATGATATGCGAGAGGCAAAATCTCGAGAAACTGTGTTTTCTTACTCGAGATAGACTTGAAATTAATGTTTAATATTTACTTTTACCCAGACGCTAAAAAATCGCGTTCCTAATTTAAATGAAGATTAATCCATCTGAGTTGCGCTCGGTAAAAACCTTTGAACTATGTATTATCCTTTAGACTTGAGCGTCATTTTGAGCGTACAAGCAATATTCACGCATATTGCGGATGCGGGTAGTGAAGGGGTAAAAGGCTTTTATTTGAGGACACATCAAATATAATTATCCCGTCCTTCATCT